TGACCAACATTATAACGGGAATTTACCAGTTAGTTAAACATCTAACCCTTTGATCTCATCCTTAACTTGTATACACATACGTACGCAAAATATGTATATTAAGTTATCTAAATGTATATAAAAATTAAGACTTCTATACAAATCCTAGTTCAGAAAATCTGAAAAAAATGATGTGGACCCAAATTCGGGGGCCTGAAGGAAGGGTTACATATTAATTTTAAGTGGTTAATGGAAAGCTTTTGCATATCAAGAAATTTGCAATCGTTCAGTAAAAACATTTATTTTTTCATTGGTTAAGACATTACACTTTATACTTTCCCAAAACACCAATAATTAACACATCCACGAATCCATCCAAATATGTTTCAATTTCATATATTAAATTACTTATTTATTTTATTTATCTCCAAAGACCTAAAAGAAGGCATGATTATTAAAAATGAGATCTAGATTAAACGAAAGTTATCAGAATCGCATTTTCTTTTTCAGTACGTTCAGTATCAGAGTTGATTGGTATAGAGCATCAATTGTGCGAGGCCTGGCTTGCACTCGAGAGACTTATTTCGTGATACAAATAATAAAAAGGACATTATTACCACACGGATATTTCTCCGTATTATAAACAGGCAAAATCCTTGTAATAATGGTAAAATACGCATGTTCAGATGTCTACTATCTGTTTTGTGCAGTCGTGAGATAAAAAATTATCCGGAGACCACTCGGAAGTTGCGTTACTGAACTACCGTTCTACTAGAATGTTTTAAATAAAACTAGTAGCGAATTTGAGTTGATGTGTTTAATGAGAATGTTTCTTACATACTAACTAACAATATTAAATTTACTTAAAAACTAGAGAACAACTAACAAAGGGGGTGGAGTCTAAATGAAACATATTATGGTGGTGGATAAATGAAGGAATTTCCTGAATGTCGTCATAGACGAGAGGGTGTTCAACCAGATACAGAAAAGTTCTGAAAACAGGTATGAATGAGCTAACAAAGCCAGGTACTAGTGATAGAAAAACCTCATTTATGCTACCAGGAATTATTGAATTCATAACGTACATTTTGTCTGTATGACAATGAAATTATTCTAAAATATTATAAAACCAAATAATAAAGCAAAGGAATTTATGACTTAAAATGTTTGAACAAATGTTTGAAGTTGAACTGACCAAAGAAATGTAAATAAAGTAAATAATAACACTAAATCTAACTAAACGGAAAAGTTTTCGATTTAAAATGATTGTAAAAAATATAGATAATTATTAGCACTTAACACTATCTTTTCAGCAAAATTTAATGGATAAAAGGTTGGAATAGTGAAACGTATCTACAGTAATACCCTTATAATAATACAGCATCCGCGTATTTGAGGAATACTTCCGGAAATACACCTATACACACACCCGTTTTTGGATTTGCTTTAATTCCACTTGAAATAGAAACTACTGCAAGGGAATAACTGGCATACGTTTTAGTATCCGGTCCCAGTATTATTGTTCTCACAGAGAACGCCGCTACTAACCAACTAGTAACTTTATAACGGAGAAAGGATCTTTATAACGAGATTTATAACCAACTGACTGTAATAATCTTTCGAATCACGATGTAATTTAGAATACTGCCGCGTCCTACTATTGCGCCCTTATTGTATTCGTTATTGACTGAAAAAGCGGTAAATAAGTTAATAACAACCCAACAAACTGATAATAACAGCAACGAAAAGTATAGGCACTTAAAAAACATAATAAAACGACACTCAAATGTGCAGCATAACGGATAGGTGGCCGGGGGTGAGAGGAGGTATGGAAAAAGCATCCCCTGATGCGATGGCTGGATGTGCAGATATCAAAACAGATGGAAAATAAATCAATTTTTAAGGCTATTCTATAAAAAAGATATTTTTAATGCATGATTAGTACCCTGCGGCATGATAAGGGGTACGGGAAAGAATCGAAACAGAAGTACCTATAGGGGCGATAAGAAAAGCGCTCACTTCGAAAAAATATTTTAATTAAAAACAGATCATTATTGTATGGAACAGGATTGAGAATTGATCTTTTGGTTTCTTAGAAGTGAGAAGATTACCGTACCTCTTCCCGCAAGAAGATTCTTTTTCTACCTATCATCTTCCCTGGCCTACCTCTACCCTTCCTAACTCCTATTTCTGCCTGAGAAAATATCCTACTAACCTATCTCGCCTATTTCTTATTGACTTTCATAGAATCCTCTGTTCTCTTATTCTTTCTAATACTTCTTCATTTCTAACCTTCTCTATCCACGGTATCTTCATCATTCGCCTGTAACACCACATTTCGAAAGCTTCTAACCTTTTCTTTTCCGTCGCGTCCACTGTCTTTCGGATCCGTACAACGCCGTGCTCCAAACATACACCTTTAACAACCTTTTTCGAATTTCTAAATTAACCGTTCGCGAGCATACAAGTTCCTTCTTGTTATTAAAGGCGACACGACCCTGCGCTATCCTCTGCTTTAAATCCTTAATACTCCTTCCGTCCTGACTTACCTGACTTCCTAGATACTTAAAATCGGCCACTTCTTCTAATTTTTCGTCTCCTATCTTTACATTCGCTCTTTCCCTACTTTTTCTTCCCTTGTATACCAGTATTTGTACTTTACTTTTTTGTCAATATCGTTTCCATTTTATTTAAAGCTATCTCTAACTCCTCCTTACTAGATGCTAATACATATTGCTATATCATCTGCAAATATAAGCATACTAATCTTTCGTCCCTTTATATCTATCCCTACAGTTATCTTGTCTTGTATGGCGTAGTGTATTGAGTAAATTACATCAGCCAATGTGATATATCTGCTGTTTTTCCAGATCATTACATTTACTCCATGGGGATAATATGGGTCTAATAACGCTTATATTCTTTTATGTTCATGCCAGTAAAGTAGCCGACCATCGCTTATAAACCAGTCGTAAATCTAAATCATTGTTCTGATATTAAAAATTATTACTGCTTTAATTCGTCATAAAAAAATCTGAAGAATTCGCATCTTTTAAGACTGAATTGTTAAACTGGCTCAGTTTTCTTTAGGGATTTTTAGCACAGTTAGCTCAAATATAAACTCCTCCTTTTATGGGAACACGTAACTAAACAAAATGTTAATGGTACAATGGTTCTTGATTTGATTAACAATTTCATAGCGATATACCGATTGGCGGTTAATATATTTTTAATTAATGATCGCCTCTTTGGGTAAGAATTGTCCGTGATATCAAAAACAAACTTTTACAAGAAAATAAATCACTTTGTTTTATTTCCCAAATCTAAATCCAACCTAAAATTTGTTACAACACATAGGTGACACACAGATAATATAATTGGAAGGCCAATGCTGTAGGTACTCCCTACTTATTTGCTTCCATATATTGTGAATCCTAAGAGGTCTTCTCCGTTTTTTTTTTATTGCAAATGCTCTTCCACATTCTAATTAAAACGACAATCATTAAGTTTTTCTCAGGCCACATATACGTAATTAGTTTCACATAAACTGCTTATATAATCCACTGATACGGAAAGGAAGTGTGAATATTATCAAAATGTACGGAATGGATTCGGAATGTATCGCAAGAATCGATCTTTACGATTTTTAGTTGAGCGACCATTTAGCTGTTATCATTTACGGTTTTATTCATCTATGGGCTACCCTTTATATAATGGTTCAGATAACTTACTTAAAATAAAATTTTGCACAGCTTATGAACCTCTAATTTTTAACCTCGTCAGAAGGCATTAAAAAGAATAGGAAGAAATGGGTGAGATAGGACGATGGGACACCTTTTCAGTCATGAAAGGCTAGCTAGTGGAATGTTGGAAGCAGAAACAGGAGTTAAGAGACAGGGACGGAAAAAGCGATATGGGATGTTCTTGTTTTACGGAAATGCGAAAATTAGCTCAGGATAAGAAAGAGTGGAGGTGCGTGTTTAACCAATTTAGGACTGACTGCCCTATGGCCATGATTGGATACATGTACCATAAGAAATGTATTTTATTAAAACAAAATGTTATTTTTTAATAAAATTATGAGGTATCGTTATTTTCCGAAACTAGTAAATATGAAACAACGTAACGTTCGTTTTTATTTCTTTTTGTAATCTTAAAAAAGCCACAATAAACTGATCGAATTTTATAATTTTGCCAGGCTGTTCACGTCTATATAAACAGACTCCTATAAATATAGATAAAATAAACACAATGCCGTTTCACCGATTTATGTTTTGTCAGCTCAACAGTATTATATCGATCGATAACGATTGTTATCACGAATTTACTGATTGCTAGTTCGTAAAGTTACAACCCCAGGCGGAAATAGGTAAAGTCTGTTTATTAGAAATTACCGTAACTTGTTTTGCACTTACACTACAATTTAATCTTAAATACCGCTACGCTATAACAAGTGAACTATCTTGAGGATAAATGTAATAAACGTATAGTGCATGCTTTTCTTTGTCGATATTTTGTGTTACGATTAATAAAAGTTTTGCATGGACAAAGATAGCTAGCGCTTTACGATGGTGTAACTTTTTTTTAATAATCTGCTTCAGCTACATTTTTAATGTAGTTGCATAAAGAGTTGATGCAATGCTTTCGAAGCTTCATTTCAGAGGCGCTATTGTTTGACTCTCGGGTCTCTGAAAATTTCATTCTTTCGCATTTTTCCACTCAAAGAGGGACTTTCATAAGGAAATTCTCTATTTCCATTTCAGTGTATTGACGCAGCGTTTTCAATTTTCCTTGTAATAAAATTTTCATTATTTGGTCATTATTTACCTGCAAACATTATTCATACAACTTCTTTCATCGAAGATGAATTGTAACATAGTAGAGGCATACTAGAGCTTTTCATTTAAACACTTTGAATAAATGTCTTTTTAAATTTTGCTTCTATAAAAGTCTCATTTATTCGTTTAACACTGTTCGATTTTTTCGGTAAACGTGCTAATTAATTTATTTCTTTGTTCCAGGTAAATCCATGTTGATTACAATCAGCTTATGTTCTGTAGAGAAACAGAGACTGCCTCAAAAATGAGAGAAAATTCATTTAGGATGTTAAAGAAAGGTAAAACTAAAGTATTAATTATAATAACACTAGGTCTTATCGCGTTGATGTCCTAAATACATATCAAAGATCATATAAAACTAATTTTTATATCCCTCGGGAACAACGTTTTTTCTTCTAAATAAATGGTAGATACCCTATGTCCTTTTCTGTACCCCTGACAATGTGTCTACAAAAGTTTATGATGATCGATTGAGTATTACAAGGTGAAATCGACCACATAAAACTAATTTTTCTTTATCCCTCGGGAACAATATCTTTTCTGGATGAAAGGTACCCTATGTGCTTTTCTGTACCCCTGACTATGTGTGTACAAAATTTTATGGCGGTCGGTTCAGTAGTTAAGACGTGAAAAGTCAACAAACAAACAAACATTCATTTGCATTCATAATAATAGTAGTTAGGATTACTACTTATTTATATTTATGAAAGCCATTTATACAAAAAAAAAATTGATTATAAAATATTTATAACATAATTTGAGAGATATAATTTACTATATAACTACACCCAACAGTATTGTTAAGGAAACATCAATCGATAATTTTATTATTCTAGATAATTAAAACGGGTTAGCTGCTTTATTAATTACTAATTGCAACTGGAATAGTTTTTCAATTAAAATCATTTAATCATTCTACATAGCATAAAAAATCGTTAATAAATTTGGAAAAACTCCGTTTTTGTTGTTGAAGATATACATATGTAAAATGATTAATGTAGGACGCCAGTCACTATGTCCACCGTCAAGAATGCTGAGAGTAACTAATGTAATCCTGCATTACTACATTCCAAATTCCAGTTGACTTAAATGGCTACAATTTGCAATTTTAATTAATTCAAAAACGTAGCAATTATTATGAAACATGAAAGTTCGAGTTGTATTTAACAAAAAGATCTGCGATCGGATAATTTAGATATTCAAAAAAGATTGTTAAAAGTGTAAGTACCTTTCTAGCAAGGCTCTGAATGGGTGCAAAACTTGGACAGGCAGAAAATAAACGGTTAGAAGCGTTTCAACTGTGGTGTTAAAGGGGGATGATGAAAATGCCATGAACGAAAATAATCAGGAATGAGGAGGAATTAGAAAAAATTGTAAAACAAAGGGTGCCACGGAAGTTTGAACATAAAGGGTTACTTAGAGACATAGAAATAGGAATAAAGAGGAGCAAATGAAATCCTAAATCGAATTACTGTTCGTTATAGTCAAAGATGCTTTAATTTCGGGAAAATACGAAGATTGCCTCAGAATATAAGGTTCGCACCCAACTAATCTTCTGATCGAGGATGACGGTCCTGCGATGACGATGATGATGAAATTTCAATATTTAATTGTTTTTATCCGAATCTTCAAGCGATATATGTAAATATTTTCTAATTAACCCACTAAATTCTAAAGCAACCGTCTAAATTGTAAAATTGTATGTAGTATACCTTTGTTCATAAATTATAATAAAATATTAATGATATTTTAATAGAGTTTTCACATTATTCAGTAAATAATGTTGAATGCGTATGAATAAAATTGCAACAACTCTCAGTTTCTATTGCAAGCGTTTCTCAAATTAAACGTCAGGAGCGGTTTCAACATAAACAGACGATTATAATTCCGTAAAATATTTATTTAATCATGCTTAAACATCATTCTATAATTCTAAGGTATTACGTAGTGAAATTGGTTTATTGCGCTTCTGCCAATTACTCTCAAGTTTTAGCGACAGCTAAATCAAAGTAATATTTACTATTGTTAATGGATTGTTTGAAAGAATTTTTTTTGTGTAAATCTGAAGATTATCGTTTAAAAATCAATTGATTTCTTTTGTTGTAGAATCGCCAAATCAAAAATCTTAATTTTAGCAATAATTTTAATATCAGATAAGTTTTATTTATAAATAGCCTTCAAAGACTGTATGATTCTGTAATAATTTACTTATAGAAGTACTTATATTCGTGGTATGGTCATTGTACACATATGTGTATGTTTCGTTGTTATTGAACTAGTAAGTATTTACAAAGACATGATTTTGCTCGTAGTGGCGATTGTAATTTACATTTTTGAATAATCTTTGTACTAGGTCATGGCATGTCTAGTTTCTTCGTTTCCGTACGTGAAAGACAATAAATATGTATGATTTTTCAAGAGTGTTCCGTTTTAACCAGATAGAAGCTTCGAAAAGCGGATTTCGTGACAAAGAATAATTATGCCCTATAGTTTTTACAGTTCCTTGTCAAGGCATAACTTACTCGCATTGAAAGCAACCTTTGAAAAATATGTCCATATTTTAACATCTCTGCTATTGCTTATATTGATCACCTTAACAAGCAATTGTCAATGAAAAAGTTATTACTTTTTTATACTATTCCATCACAATCGATACTCTGGTCTCTAGTTCGCGTTAATTCCTTGAAGTTTCTAGTTAGAGAGCACAAGGTAATGCATCACTTTCATAGCGGAAATGTGGTCAAAAAGTAGGACAATTTAGGGTACTAGACAACCTTTGTTTATAATAATAAATAATATATATTATTTGCCCTACGTAATATAGTCTCGTTTAAGTAAAGNTCTAAAAGGAATACGAAGCTATAAAATAATAAGGATATATTTTTAGTATTGCGTACTGGGTCGTATCAAGTTTCCAAAGGTCGAAGGTCGGATTAAGTGTTCTCTAGATCGAAATAAAAAATAATAATGTATGGTGGATTTATTTTTCTTGTATTTTATTTAAAAAGTTCACGCCTTGAGAACAATAGTAGTGTTGGCATCCAGGAAGTAGTGACTATTGATTTTTCAGTAAACTGATGGCTATGACACTTTTAAAGAGACATATAATCTTTATCCATATTCTTCTAAATCGAGTTGAATTTAGGTGACGATGATTGACGACCTCAACTCTCTTTTGCTTACCTTTTAAGATTTATTTCTTATTTACTTAAATGGAATAAAAACACAAAAACTTTTAAGAAACATATTTGTAAGTACACTGTCACTGCACAGAGAAAACTAAATTTTTATGACAACGCAAAAATTACAACTTTCGATTGTAAATTTATTAGGTAATTAGTAATAATCTCAATTTTGACATGTTTTTCTTTTAATTATTACAATTTAATTTGTAATATCAACTAATGTACCTAGTAAATTTATTTTTGCTGGGATTTTATTTTTACAAATTCGGGTCCAAATTGTAATTTAATTTACGTAATACTTTAGCTAATACTTCAGGTGAAAACTGACGTTTCCGGGTATCTTTTGTATCAAACTTGTAGAGAATTGAAAAACGAACCCAGAGACACTCTATTAAATGCAATAATCAAAGGATGATATCATCTTTTCAGAAATACGATATGGTACAGCAAAATTCGAATTTTCTTGTAGTATGTCGTATTTAACAAACGATGATGTCCTTTGATTATTGCATGTAATAGAATTTCCCTATCTTCGATTTTCAACTCGGCGCTATTATATTTGGAGACGACCAGACCCGAGAATATCAATTCAGGTCTGCTCTAGGGATGTGAATTGTAATCTGCTAATAACATGTTAACAAATTAGTTAAAAAATGTAGTTAGAAATCGAGAAAAGCAAACTTGATCGTCTAAGGATTAATGTCGTAAAAATAAGAGTATATAATTAAAAAAAAATAAGGACAAATGCAACTGCTGATATTTAACAAATCACTCTACTAATATGACTACGTTGTCGAAACAATTGTTGAGTTATTTATTAAATATTTTGTTAAAGTAATGTAAATATTTATACATGCAGTTTTTTTATACATTATAAATTTAATTGTAATTTTATATAGGCAACATAAAATGACGGGTCCGTCTGCTCGGGTGCATTTTTTTTTTGTAGTTTCTTGAATCATTTAGACAAACGCTGGGAGAGATCTTTGTTTCGTCCTTGTCATTTTTCTCACCCTTGATTACATTTTGATTCTTTCCAGGCCTTACTGGGCGATAGGGAATAAGCCATGAGCAGTCAAGACGAGACGGCAAGCCTCCTTGTTGGTGGCCCTTCTCTGACGAATGCTTCGTCCCCGTCGAATTGCTCAAAGCCGGTCCTAATGCGTCAGGAGTGCACCACCTTTCTGGTCTCTTCCCATCATCCGCAGCTATCGGTTTTTTCCGATAGCGAAGAGGACGGCTCCTTGTGCCTAGAAGAAAATAGTACACGTTCTGTTCCTGATATCGAACTTCATTGCAGGTACAGAATCCTCTTTTATAATATCAAGCACAATTTCCAAAAATTCATTTAGATATTGAAAATTACAATTTGCAACTAAAATTCTTTGATAGGTAAATACCACTTTAGAACGTAAAGTTTATGATCACCAATAATTACGGTATACATTTATAAAATATACTCTAATTTCACCAGGATCGCCAACAATAGTTCAAACACAGAAGTTTTTATTGTTTCGATCATTTCGCTTCTAACAGGAGTCGATATAGATCACTTTAGGATTCTTTTGTTTCTAGACTATCCATTTGCGAATAAAATTTAATTTAGTGGACATAATTGTGCCACAAACATTTCATTAAAAAAATGAATGCCAAAAATTTAAAATACTTCACGCAAACAGAATTTGTTAAAAAGGTCTGTATTTGCTAAACTGCCCTAGTTATAGGTTTAAAAAACTAATGGAAACTGTAAATGAAAATATTGTAAAATCCTCGTCTTTTATACCATTATTATCCTGTAGATGTTTTTGTATCGGATGTCGTTATCCTTGTTCTAGGCTCGATATGAAAGGATGTAAGCAGAATTTCTCGAATATTCCGACAAGGAACAGGAGCTCGTCGAACGCGTTTCAATTGACGCCGCACGCTTCATGCCTCAGGGGTACATTGGAACAACGAAGGACATCACACACGCCAATGTCTACCCTAAAAATAGTAAGATCCGTGTCACGCGAAAGTGTCCGGTCAGCACATCACTGCACCTGCCCATGTCTCAATACACCGGTAAGATTCTACACAACTTTATCTGACCCCTTCTTTGCATGACTAGAACAACGTATACCTACACTACAATAAAATCAATTCAAACCGATTACGTGTTTCTAATTATCATTAATTTTAATTCGAACATATCCTTTCCTGAATATTAAATATTTTAACGAAGGTAGGCTAATTGCTGCCAGCAAGGACTCTGTCTTTTCTAATAGAAACATCTTTAATTCTTTCGTATAATATTGTATTACAGGTACTTAAAATCTGGTAGCTTGAATGTAGGAAAAATGAATTTGGAAAATGCTGAATTAGAGCTAATTTTGGTGTCAAAGTCGAAAACTAGGGGCGATCCAGTTTGCATATAACATTATAAAGAAATAACAAAAAACAGTAAACATAATTTTTGACCTTAACACCCAATTAGCCTCTAAAAGGTGCCCTTTGTGTAGCATTTTCAAAATTCATTTGGCCACTTTCTTGTGTTTCATGGACATTAAAACTTACAGTTCGCAAGGAAAATCGTTCCTTGATTTGAAAGTTAGTGTTGAATTTTTAAACGAATTGCTGGAGTTACGAAGTGTAGCACTCCGAAGCAGTTTGAGATCATTAAAAATCTACTTTAAGAATAGAAGGAATTTGTTTCAAGAAAATATAGATTTTACCTAAAACTCGTTAGTAGCTATAATATTTACGTATTCAAGAAATAACATCTTTAATATATTGTTTTTACAGTTCTCAATATGTGGACTAAATTAATTTATTACCCAACTGATGTTAAACTAATAATAATGGATCCCCATTAACACAATCAATTTATTGTGTTCCTTTTTATCAGGTTGTTAAAATGTGAATTTTGACCCTGATTGTACTAAATATTGTAAATGAAATTCACTTACATCAATAGGATAATGTTTCCATTAATTATTATTTGGAAATTGCTAAACGGTTTTATTTAATTTAACACGATATATTTCTATAATTGGTTCGTTAACTATTCTCTCCCTCTCTCTCTCTCTTACGTTTTACGTTTTAATTCAAAAATTCACGATAACGAATTACTGTTCAAGCAGTCAAGAGAGTAAAGCTAGCAAACGCTGTTTAATTTCAAACTAAATTCAGAAAAACAATTAGCACAGTCTCGTATAGAATAGGACGTCAAACCCCCGAATTTTGATCACGTACTAAAGCAAATCTACATACTTCAAATCACAACACAATTGTTTAATATTACATATTTACTTATTCCAATTAGGCAACAACTTGAAGAAGTGGTCCTAAATTTTGTTATCGTTCAAACATTACGAAGCAAAAACGAAGGAAATCAAAATAACTACACTACATTTGAATTTATCTTGCATAATTTTTGCAGTCATACTGCACCTTGTGATTTTAAATCACTAATAAATGAGCGGTTGGAAACTCGTAAAGCATTTTTTTTTTTTAATTATTATGAACTTCACTAAAACACTGAATAACATTTAAGTTGTTTTACTTTTTCTCTTACAATTGTTTTCATGTATCGACTGTTCTTCAAGAGTTTACTAGAAACTGAACTTCTAAAATACCTTACTAATACTGTTACTTAACAGCAATTTAACTGTAAATGATAAAATATGTAAATCAGTTAAAATGATTAGATATATAAGGCAGACGGGCAGAAACTTTAAAAGACGAATAAAAGAACATAAAAAGTCCAATGAAACTAACAAAAACGGTGTAGATTTTGCAAAGTGGAAAGGGTAGGAAATTTTGTAATTGAAAATGCCCTTGCAATTGATTTGTTCTTTATTTCTCATAAATCCCTAAGTACCTACTGATAAATGTAGAAAAATTCCCTGCTCTTTCCATTAGTGTGCTCAAAAACATGTACCTATTCTCATTAAAACATGACTTCAACTTCAAATGATTTTGACAGTCAAAATCGAGCTCACGCTCAAGATTTCCAGTTGTTGTTCCTACGAGAACATACAACATCTGTCTAAAACCATTCCTAAACAATGAGTTTATATCAAATATTTGATTAATTAAAGGTATTTTCAGCCTTTTCATTTTTCGGGTCAAAAGTTTGTATTCTCATTTAGAAAAACTGACTTGACCTGCAAATTCAAAATCGCCGGCTAATTTCGCCTTCAACTTTTGTCTAAAATTTATCTAAAATAATGAGATCCAATGGAGGTATTTCGTAGTCCCATATAAATAAATAAGCAAATATCTTTAAGTTTGGTTTCTAATAAAAACTCTTTGAGAACGGTAATCGATAAAAGCAATAGTAACAAATAATACTAGGGTAATTTAAACATTATGAGTATTGTTTTAAGGTTCATAATATCTTTGTAATTTGTTTTTTGTCGTATTTCGTTTTTCTGCATAAACCAATTAATTACTTTACTATTACAAGCAATAGCACTACCTCTTGTGAATTGTCTCAAATGAATTGCACCGTATCTATTGTAGTTTTCACACTCTAACGACTTTTTATCCTTCTTTTCATAGTTGTATAAATCTGCTCTTAATTAAATAACAAGTAGCTTTTATAGGATTTTCTTTGTTTGCGAATGAACGTTTCACCCTTTGCGTATCCAATTAAAATTAACTGTTAATAATGGACTAAGTTAATAACTTCTTTAATAAATATGAAATTAAATTCTCAGGATACTAAATTAAGTCTAAATTATTCTTTTTCATTTTTCAGGCTTTTCACAATTAAATTTAAATTTTTTATAAATACTAATCCTTTTTCAGCAAACACTTTTTATGAAGTTTATCTACCCTCTACAGGGTTCAAAAGGACAAATAGAAGTCTATAATAAATAAGACATGTTCGTAAATGTATGTTATATTAACAATGTACCATTTCTGGTGTTTTTGCATGATATAAAACAGCTAAATGTTTCAACGTAGTTTTTTTACGAATGAAAATGCTTTAGAATGTTTCTTTTATTTCAGGTAGCTGTTCTATTCGCTATTGATATTAATAGTTTTTGGCTTTTGCTAGAAACACTGCTGTCTGCTTTGCATTTTTATTTAATTGATTAAGTGTAAAATAATAATATAATCATTAACATCGATGTTATTTAGGCACATAAAAATTTACTAAACATAACTACAGAAAGATTAGTGTCTTTTGTCATTTTAGATTTTCAGAATATTTAAATTTGATTCATAACTGTTAATTACTGGTAGTCCTTTAATTATACCTAATTAAAATTGTTTTCCTAAATTGATTGAGTATTTCATCTGCTGGTTGTTCATCCGCGATCATGGAAATGATAAATATTGTTCGAATAGAATGTATTCATGACGAATGCAGTATTATCTTTTACTCTTTTACTCGACTACCCCAACAACAACTTGAATGTCTTAATACTTTCTTTGAAAATTGTCGACAAAGATTAATGGAAGCCACCCACCCTTGGTGAGACGCTTACAAAATTTGCAGAAATCTGATACCGAAAAAAAATGAGTTATTCATCAATAGTAGCAGTCTAAAATAATAACAATTACTTAAACATTAGTTTGTAAGGAAGTAAGAAATGTAATTAAAATAACAGGAAGGTTCAGTGCGGAAATTACAAGCTTCTTTCTTTTTACCTTTTATTAATTACAAAAAGGAATTCAGAGCGCACATAGTCAAATTATTTGGATTATCGTATGAATCTGAAACTTATTCTAATATCCAAAAGCGGTTAATTCGCATCCAATTAATTTAGTTTACCAACTATGCAGTTCAATATTGCAATTTTAGAGCGTGATAATTTTACCCTGCGATTACATCTCTGCTTTTATCTTAAGCTGCCCTGTCATGTTTTCGGTCGTAATTAATTTTCCGCAATCGACAAGCCAGAATATTACACAACATTCTTAAAGTAGAGCATTCATCATCCATATTTCACAAACAGATCAAATATAAAAAAAAATAATTGCCATACACGTACCTAACAGTATTAATGGAAATTAAACGAAGACAAATGGGAAAATGGAAATAATTGCATACCACAACACACAAACACAAACAAAATTTAATATACTCACAATGGAAACCACATACCTTGTCAGAATGTTAATTATCAACGTTGTGTCCATTTGCCTTCGCCAAATCATCTTTGCATGTTTACTCAATCGTTTAGTTAATAAACCTAAATGTATGTAACTATTATATACTAAATTAAACCAAATTGTTCAAATTTCCATAGTGTTTGAAGTATTCTATTAATTAATTAGAAAAGTATTCCACAGTTATTGATAACAAAATAGGTTTCCATCGATTGTAATGAAACTTCCTGACAAACTTACTTGACATAAACTATACTATTGTAGTCACAAAAATTTGAATTTAACTACTACCTTTATTTTATGTTAAGGGTAAAAATGAGGGCCGTAGCCGAATTGTATAATTAGGACAATCTCATAAATTAGTGAGTTGAAAAGCAAATTCAAGACCAAGATTATCCCAATCCCAATTCCGAATCCCCATAGTCTTGAAAGAAGTAAAAACTATCAAAAAAAATAATTTGTCTCTATATTTTGCTTATCACTAATGTAAATTTAAAGCTGGAATACAGTTGAACGGCAAACTCGAGATTTTTCGGAATTTTCTGGCCATCAGAGTACTTCAACAAAACTAATTTTTCAAAGTTTCATTACAATTGACCGAACCCATCTTTCTATCGAAAGGTTCAGCGCTGGTTTAAAGATTTTGGTGGAGGCGCTAGGTATAAAACATTTCGCTTTCATTTTATCAACGTCAGACTGGTTACTGCACCCAAGGTTACTAACATTTTCCTGACGTACCTTTGAATAATACCAACTCATTAGATAGAATGTCTTTCACAAAGATGTAATAAATGATATAGTTATTTTAATCATAAAATCCCACCAGGTAAAAATTACCATCTTCTATATTCATTCAGGTGCTTCACGATTTTCTTCGCAGATAGGGCAATGGAAGTAATTTCTAAAATAAATGTTTTTCTTTCCTCTTACGTTGCCTTTATTTTCTGTATACGAACCCGAATCCCTTCAATCTACGAAACACCTAAAAGGATTTTTTATTCATTTCCCCCAAAACCGTACGGAGCAATCCATCAAGAGAAATTAAATGCATGTATGTAGTAACCAAAATAAAGGGGTGGAATATGACGTATACATATCGGAAATTAAAATTTTGGATGTTTGTATCAGGTGTTTTTTTTAAAAAATAAATCCCAAACGAATTGTAGAGTTGTGTTCGTTGTCGACATTTCCGATTAGTTTTCCAATGCCAGATTATTTTGTTGATAATTGTTGACATTTGGAAGCAGTGGTTGCATGTGATAAAAAATTAAACGCCATCCAATACAAAATGGCAGCAGTATTTGCATCAAAAATCGACAATGAACAGAGTTTAATTAAAATTCATGACACAATCATAAAAGTGGACTTTTCCTATTCATTCGATACCTCTGATGGGTTATGTGGTTTCCGTTCTAAACATCAGCAAATTGAAAATGAGACAGAAGAGTGTGGAATAAAGAAATGGTAAGTTTTAGATTGTTTTGTTCTAGGCTTCGTGTAGTTCCTGTATCGTGGCTCCTCCAACAGTTATTACGCCATTACAAGGTTCAAGAATAATACGTCAAAGTTCTCAACCAGAAGCTTCATCGCCATATTGCGCTGCTCATGTGGCTGGTCCTTCCACCTCGTTACGACAGCTAAGGGACCATGGTGAAGGAGGCATAGCTGGTATAGCCGCGGACTCCCTCAGGATAAACGGGGCAATGCGAAACTTTCGCCAGGTAAGTAAGTAACCATTTGAAAGATTGTGGCTAGCGTCCGTTTCGCTATAGCGCTTGACGTATTAGCTTTCGCTCATAGATTGATTGAAACTGTTTCGCATATTACCCAAAATGGTATATTGAAAAAAAAAAAAACAGAAAAACATTACAGTCCTAATTACACTATTAAATATCTGTAGGTACATGCCTCGAGATGAGGCGATACGAGAATTACGTTCTTCGTCATTTACAAGAGTTCTCTCATCATTAATAAAATTAAAATTTTAGGAGTAATTTTGTAACCAAAATGATTGTTTCGGCTGTTATTTGTTGAAACTCCATTTTGAAGCTTCGGATTCTGGTAGTTTCCGAACTATCAGAATCTAATGTTTCGGAGAATCTGACATTTTCCGTAAGGATCTAGCAGGGTTCTGTAATAACTTATCTGTAGATACAATTATTTCCCTATGCCGAGGCTTCATCAGGTAATTCCATACATACATGGAAGTAATGTTAATTGTGTACCTGTATATTTTCTTTTCACTATTTCAACATATATCAATAGGAAAGGCTTTGAAAAAACTAAAGGAAACTTTAGATATAAAGTCAAATTTAGTGTATACAAAATAAATGTGGAAGCAGCTATAACAAGCTATACAAAGTATCCATCGGATAGACAGGAAGATATAATAAAAAAAAACTCGACCTCAACATACGCATAACACGCAATCAAAAAATTAACTTGAAAATTGAATTGAATGTTATCTCCAACGATAAAATTGGAAATTTGAAATGGTATCTACCTTTCTTATTTTCTCAATCTATTTAACATGATTAATACTATTCGATTCAGAAATAGAACTTTTAGGAAACTTAAAAAGGTTAGAACAAACATTCAGTATTGGCAATTATATTAATTATCTTCTAGTTTAATTTGATCTAATTATCTAATAAAAATATTAGTGGTACCAATATTTATAATGAGCCAGGTACTGCTTTATAGTCTTAATACTTCTAAGATCATTAGGAAGAAAATTTTGAAACAGCTTTTGTTGAAAATAAAAATATTTCTCACTGATCTCTCGACCCTTCCCTGTGGTACAATCCCCCATATTACCTTGTCTGGTCTCTCTCAACTTTTGTAGGCCTAACCACAACTAAAATCTTGTTAATCTCTGAGATCGTTATGGCAAATCTTTTCAACAAGCAAACCCAAAATTGTGTGCTACAATTAGATCTTCTAAAGAGATCAGTTGTTGTTTTTTTACAAGAAGTGCTATCGGCGAGAACCCTTAAAGTGATTAATTGCGATTCCTTTTTCGCGAGCTAAGGAATTAATTTGGTGTGATACTTTTCGTAAAAACGGGAGATTCCTCTCGAAAAAAGAAAATAATACCTGGCAAAAAGACGAAAACAAACATCACAAGATATTGTTACCATTTGAACGATTTACAATAGTCTACGCAATGTCTACGTAAATAAAGAAATCTTGCTTTGAGACATCAAAGAATTTTCGACCTTTTTATTTTACAAATATTTTATTGCCTCACAACGACTTCAAACGTTTGTCAGCTAGTTAAAGACTCGACTTTTATGTAGATATATATTTTCTTCGCATTTATTTGATTCTGCTGACACAGCCTGTTGCAATAATAATAAAACATTTAACGTTAATTTGCCTTTTTGATATAAAGGTCAACTTCGTTTGCTCCTGCTCAGGTACATTTACCTTTAATCATGACATTAATACGTGAAACGGAGGGAAATTGAACTTATATCATCAGCAAGATGTAGACTGAGCTGTAGATGTTAACAATATAATAATTATTTGTGTATGTTTCCGTTAAAATTTTAATTACTGTATATAGGAGAGCACATATTAGAATTTCTGTTTTCACGTACACTGATACNAAATCTTAATTTTAGCAATAATTTTAATATCAGATAAGTTTTATTTATAAATAGCCTTCAAAGACTGTATGATTCTGTAATAATTTACTTATAGAAGTACTTATATTCGTGGTATGGTCATTGTACACATATGTGTATGTTTCGTTGTTATTGAACTAGTAAGTATTTACAAAGACATGATTTTGCTCGTAGTGGCGATTGTAATTTACATTTTTGAATAATCTTTGTACTAGGTCATGGCATGTCTAGTTTCTTCGTTTCCGTACGTGAAAGACAATAAATATGTATGATTTTTCAAGAGTGTTCCGTTTTAACCAGATAGAAGCTTCGAAAAGCGGATTTCGTGACAAAGAATAATTATGCCCTATAGTTTTTACAGTTCCTTGTCAAGGCATAACTTACTCGCATTGAAAGCAACCTTTGAAAAATATGTCCATATTTTAACATCTCTGCTATTGCTTATATTGATCACCTTAACAAGCAATTGTCAATGAAAAAGTTATTACTTTTTTATACTATTCCATCACAATCGATACTCTGGTCTCTAGTTCGCGTTAATTCCTTGAAGTTTCTAGTTAGAGAGCACAAGGTAATGCATCACTTTCATAGCGGAAATGTGGTCAAAAAGTAGGACAATTTAGGGTACTAGACAACCTTTGTTTATAATAATAAATAATATATATTATTTGCCCTACGTAATATAGTCTCGTTTAAGTAAAGATTTATTCGCTTATTACTTAATTCAATAAAAAATGTTGAATTGTTATAAAAATGTTAGATGATTTTCTTTGTAAGATTGTAGATATATATATATATATAATATATTACATAAGTTCCTCTTGAAAATTGTCAATGCCCATTTAACGAGAAAGAAATCTCTAAAAGGAATACGAAGCTATAAAATAATAAGGATATATTTTTAGTATTGCGTACTGGGTCGTATCAAGTTTCCAAAGGTCGAAGGTCGGATTAAGTGTTCTCTAGATCGAAATAAAAAATAATAATGTATGGTGGATTTATTTTTCTTGTATTTTATTTAAAAAGTTCACGCCTTGAGAACAATAGTAGTGTTGGCATCCAGGAAGTAGTGACTATTGATTTTTCAGTAAACTGATGGCTATGACACTTTTAAAGAGACATATAATCTTTATCCATATTCTTCTAAATCGAGTTGAATTTAGGTGACGATGATTGACGACCTCAACTCTCTTTTGCTTACCTTTTAAGATTTATTTCTTATTTACTTAAATGGAATAAAAACACAAAAACTTTTAAGAAACATATTTGTAAGTACACTGTCACTGCACAGAGAAAACTAAATTTTTATGACAACGCAAAAATTACAACTTTCGATTGTAAATTTATTAGGTAATTAGTAATAATCTCAATTTTGACATGTTTTTCTTTTAATTATTACAATTTAATTTGTAATATCAACTAATGTACCTATTAAATTACTTATTTATTTTATTTATCTCCAAAGACCTAAAAGAAGGCATGATTATTAAAAATGAGATCTAGATTAAACGAAAGTTATCAGAATCGCATTTTCTTTTTCAGTACGTTCAGTATCAGAGTTGATTGGTATAGAGCATCAATTGTGCGAGNAAAATTATAAAAAATTAAAAACTGAACAGATCCATATAAAGATTTTGCAGAGATCCTAAAGATATTTTTACAAGAAAGGTATATGTTCAGTATTCATCTTCTTTGGGAAACTGTTTTTCCAAAAAAACAAATACAGTTAGAGTACGAGAAAAGTAGATTTTTAATGAAAGGTTCTTTAAGAAATAAAGTAATTCACTTCAAGTGTGCGATAGTGTACAAATTTTACATGATTGCTTGTTTAGATTTATATGTATACTTATTAGGAGTTTTTTATCTGTTAAAAGAAATAATCTGCACGACATTATAATTCAAAAATATGGCAGCGCCTCAAAGTTTTAGAATAGTTTTTGCAAAATATTACAAATTCTACTCGTGAAGTTAAGGAAAAAAGTAAAAATAATATCTAAAAGAAATAATTAAGTAAAAAATGTAAAAATAATATCTTGTTATCCTTTATTGAAGTATATCCTGGCGACCAACATAAGAAGATGATCCCTTGCGCTTTAGAAATGCTTCTTTTATACATACTTATTGATACGAATAAGAATGATACGAAGTATAATGTTTCTAAAGTATATATACAAAAAAACCTAACAGTATGTTGCAATTCTTAATTGGTTTCAGATTTGGTTTAGATACTAATGTGTATTCTTTTGTTAGGTCAGTCAAATTATCTCAAAAAGATACCAAAACAAAACTAAATGTTACGCAGGTTAAAACCTACCTAAAAGTTTTGAGAAAATTATGCAGATGATGAATATATGCGCATTATCCAAACATTACAAATAGATTGTTCGTTGATAACAAAAAACTATAAGTTTTACAGGAAAAACAAAAGTTGCAAGATTTAAAATGCTCTACAAAACAGTTTTTGTAATGTTGCATCTCTCTTCAAAGCAAGCAAATCAAAAGAAAAAGCAACTTGACCTGTGCTATAGTTTCCGAAATATTCTATTTTGCACTAAAAGACATTAAATTGTTAATTTCTATACAATTGTACAAATCGCTTTTTATAAATTAAATTGTTGAAAATTGTGGTTAAAAAAGGGACACCTTTTTATTTATAAACAAATAACGATATCTCTGTTAACTNAACTTCCGTTTCGTAGACTACTGACACGATAAACTATCTCTTTTAAAGGTTTATCCCTTCCCTCATCAATTTTTCGAAATATATTTCGTTGATGTATTCGTATGAAGTTTTATTTTTCTCTTAGTTCGATACGTTTCATCATAAGTGCTCTGAAAAAAGCCTTCTAACTATTAATTAAATGATTTTTTTATTATCGATTTGACTACATCACAAAAAATTAATTAATCTTTCACTTTCCGGTAACGCATTTCGTCTTGCAGCAATTGCTTGATCTGATTTAGAACGATTAGGAAATTGCAGCAGTTGTCAACTCCATCTTTTTAATTTCCTGTAATTTCCTCCCCATTAACGCAAAAAGATTACGACCTGTAAACATATTACCTAGACAGACGTCTTTCGCAAAACCTCGTTAAATTTTATCCATAGCTGTCATTAAAAAATATTCTTAAACCTATACAGCCACCTTACAAACAAAGAAATAATTCTATAAGTAAACTTCTATTTTAGGCCAGTCAAATTATCTCAAAAAGATACAAAAGCAAAACTAAATGTTACCCAGAGTAAGACCTACCTAAAAGATTTGCGAAAAATATGTAGATGAAGGATATCTGGGAATTATCCAAAAATTTTGGTTGAAATAGTTGCTAAATTGCGTCTGAAAACACGCGAAATAGGTTTTTCATTGATAACAAAAAAACTATAAATTTTACAGGAAAAATTTAAAAGCAAAAGTTGCAGAATTTAAATTTCTCTACAAAACAGTCATTAAAGATTCAAAATTGGATCAGTAATTGCTGAGTAATATTTAAAAAACAGTTAAAAATGGTAAATATTTCAATTGTTAACAATTTTGTTTAAACAAACGTTGTATTGATGATACTTTGGTAATTATTAGCTTATTTTAAAGCAAGCAAATCAAAAGAAAAAGCAGCTTGATCCGAGTTATAGTTTCCGAAATATTCTATTTCGCACTCAAAAAGATTAAATTGTTAATGTTAATTTCTATAGATTTGGCAAAATATGAGGTAATTTTCTTTGAGACGATCGATAGTTTAAGGCCTATTTTTCCAGGAACATGATTGTATAAATCGATTTTCATAAATTAAATTGTTAAAAATTGTGGTTAAAGAAGGAATACATTTTTATTTATAAACAAATAACGATATCTCTGTTAACTTTCTTTTTTTTTAAATCTGATTAAACATTTGAATTGCTGAATTCTAATTTGACTGGTCTATATACAGATAAGAAAAGATGGCTGATGGTATTTATACGAATTGATATTTGTGTGTAATAGAATTTTTTTTTGTTCGGTTATCAGCTCGCCATTAGTGTATAACAGTTCAATTCAGGACTATCGGTATACAGAAGCATGGAGTGTTATGAACGTGTTAGACTGAAGTTGTCATTGTTTCTCACGTTGTCTAGTCAACGACTATCTCAAGTGCTTCGATCGGAACGGCACATTGTTGCCCTCGTAAAGTGAATGTAAACTTATCGATTTCTAAGTAAGAACAAAGAAAATTGTAAAGACTTGCATGTTTCTGTTACCACAAATACTGAATTCAGCATGAAACAAGAAAGGGTAACTGAACTATACAACAAACTGCTTCCCCATCCGGACGTATGAATTAAAAATAAAAGAACGACACTGTAGACACTAGCCAAGGGCTTCATGCACTTCAAGGATCCTGAGAATTATATTAAAATGAAAATTGTTCATTATTATTGATGGGAAATTACAATCAAACTTTTATAAATTTCAGAATAGGCGCCCGACTCTCTCAAATTATAAAAATCCATTCTTGATAGCAAATCGAACTCATAAATTTTAAAATAAGCAACTGCCTCGATGTTCATACCTCCAAGGCATCCCGTAAAATTACATTTAAAAACGTCATGAACCCAACATTTTATCAATAATTTAATTACCCATACGTTGGTCTAATAAAAATATTGGTTTCCCAAATTATATAAACGTTTTATAATAAGATAAAATGTAAAGAGATTTTGATTGAATAGGGGCATTCACAGGATTGTTTCGGCAAAGCGTTCAATTGTTGTTCCCTTTTTTTCAAAAAAAAAAAAAAATATGTTCTACGTATTATGTATGTACCTACATTGAAAAGTTAATTTGAGCGTGTTTAATGACAAAGCTCTTTTGTATTACCTACCAACTAAAACATTTTTTTTTTTTAAGGACGAACTTTCCACTGTTCTGTCTGTTCGCAATTTTTCCACTTCGTTTAATGAGCCTGTTTCGGAAGGACGTTTTGTAAAAAAAAAAAACTTTTCAGTGTCGCGCTGAGTTGTAAATTTTGGCAAAGGGTCAGGTCAGTCTAAAGTTTAACAGTAGCTACAACAGCCACGAAATATAAATCTGTAATTTTAACTTAAAAGCGATCAAATCAATTTTCGGTTTATTTAATACAATTTTTATAGTAACTAGTTAAACCCGTCCAAACCTGGAATGTGGTGCGTGTCCTTAAGGTCGAAATTCTAAGGTTAAACAACAACTGTATAGATCTAAAAAAGGTTTCTATATTTTAATTAGACGTTTCAATAGTCAGCTTATACCAGAGTATTGTATTATGAGAGGAGATAGCCGCACCGATAATGATTGCAAGGCAAAAACGATTTTTGGGCCGTTTTTATTTGTTAATATCCTTTAAACCGGCTAATAAAATCGGATGAAAGCTTACAAAGCCCTAGTCCTCGTAAATCTAAATCAAACGCCTTTATGGCATTTTACGTATTTTTCGACGTTTTTTTTTTTTTAATGTTTAAAGTTAAAGTTGAATTTTCTGTTCTAACTGAGAAATTTTCTGTCTTTTCATGCATAACTTTTTTTAAAGGTATCTTCCTTTATAAAAATATTTTAGACATAAAAGAAATTGGCGCACTTGGTTTGTGAAACTGAGTTTGCATTTATTATTCAAGTAAATGACGTGGTAATTGCCAGGACGAAGGTGGTGCAAGAATACCTCTGCCGCCTCCTTAGACAGGATCTTTTTAATTTCTAAGGAAACGCACGAAAGCTGCAACACCGCTTGCATACATTTGCTTCTTTAATTCAGCGATGTGAAGATGAGGTTCTTTTAAAAAAAGTCAACTATATTTGAAAAGCCTCTTGAAAATTTTGAATATGCACTAGGTGAATATAAATAACAAAATATGCTATACGAATTTCAACCCAGTTACTCTAAAACTAATACGATATGGGTATAAGTACTTAAATTTTTACAGGACCTTGTTTTGAAGAAAACATACAAAAATAACATGTAGTAAAATTTAACTTAGATACCAGTACGCTTCCTTGGTTGTCGTAATTTTCATATTAATTTGGAAACTTTCAATTCAGGTTCCGCAAAAAAACAATTGGAAGCCGCTGCTCTGGACTCAGGATTTTGTGCTGTGCGTCAGTTTATCCTTTTATAATAACTTGTTGCGTCACCAAACTCAGCGGGTGGATGTGTATCATTTTTGAGCGATAAAATTGTGTAAAGGTGATGACTGCCTATTGGCATAAAGGGGGAGAAGATTAGCAAAATTAAAATAGTAAGATTGTGAACTCGCAAAATGCGCACGTTTAAGTGAAATTTATTTTGTAATGTCAAAATATTTATAACACGAAAATATTGCAAATCATTACTACACCCAAGCATGGTCCTTCGAGCCGGATGCTTGGTGCAAGCCATGATCGATTAATAAATAAATTAACCTAGCTATTTTACAAAATATCAAGTAACTATCTAATAGTTGGATAAAATAATAGAATACAATACATTTTAGTTTATTTTATATTGTAGGGGTTCATAAAGTTAAAGAGGAAATAATTAAAATTAATAAATCGGTGTTTAAAAGGAAATCCTTACAATTTATTATGGTTATTATAATCGCAAATAATAACAGTTTAAGTATTAAATGATGTAGATGTAACAGAAAGTCCATTTAACGTGATGGAAAAATAAAATGGAAATGAGATAGAATAGGGAGGTAAACTTTTTTTTCCCAAGAGAGTTCTAATGAAAGAAAATTGAAAAGCGTTACTGCCCCATTTATTCTAGTAACAATCCGCAGAATAGCTTTGACGATACTAAGCAAATTAAAAAATCCATTACGTAGATTATAATAATAATAGCAATAACTTTTTAATGGTCTAAATCACAAAGTGCAATGAAAGAGGATGGTACTTACAATTAAGTAGTGTTATCAATCGAACTGTTGATAAGATTTTAAATAGTTACAGTAGGTATCTGTTAGATGATTATAAGTAAGAACCAGTGTTCTAATTACATGTATGCAGGGGTCGGGTCTACTGATGTCGTCACAGTCCATGGCACAGACAAGGCGTTCAAGATTAAAAAGGGCCCTAACCGAAGTTACCAGCGATACTGTTACCTACGTTAAAACGGTGGGCACTAAAACTCGAATTACCCTCACATTTATTATTACATTAGTTTTACACGCAAACCCCATTATCAGCTTTGAATTATAGGTTTGTTCACTTGGTTGTCATTGCACTCGCATATAAATATTCCACCTGTAAGGATTCTGGTAAAAACTTATTCGATATGTATTTGCTATTGATACTATTATATATATATATACATACTTATAAAGATTAAGTGCTAAAATAGATTCAAAAAATAAGTGTTGAAATTAGATCATAGAAAATGAACAAAGTTTTGTTGGTTTCCTTTCAATTTTTTCAATCATTCATGTATATAAAACTTAAAATGTCAAAGTTCTAGGTAGCACCAAATATCAGAAGATGGCAATGTACTGAGCGTACCGTAATATTTTACAACCTTTTTATTGTAGGTACTGCGATTACCAGCCTTGCAATCGTCATGTATTGTTTGTAATGTAAAAATCATAAACTTATGAAAAGTAATTAGATAAATTTTACTAATCATTGCATTTTATGGGTGACAAGTCCATCATCATAAGGTTTTCAGTCTAAAGACTCTACTTCTTCTTGAGTCTCTAACAATATCCTAACAGTAATCTAATCTAGGACTACCCCTTCCCCTTTTAATTCCTGCTTCTAATATGTCCCTTTTAACTATCCCTTCATACCTGAAAATTGACTTTCTTTACACCCTCTGTTCTCCTAATCTTTCTAACACCTCCTTATTTCTAACTTTTTGTGTCTACAGCATTGTTAGCACCCTCTTTTAACACCACATTTCAATCGCTTCAAGCATAGATAAGTGATAAGTGATTGTAGACAGGATTATTATTATAAATAAATAAATAAATCATGAAATGAATAGATAATATTATTGGTAATTATACAGTTACATATTAATAAAAATAAAGAAATAAAGGAGACTAGGCAATAGTAGAAAGTCACCCCTAATTGCCAGAACACATTTTTGAATAACACACACGTGTTTCACCCACAATCAAAGTAGTGGTAGTTAGGGGGGGTTAATGAAATACAAGTAAAACTTGTTTTGTTAGTAAAATGTACCTCATTACTCATAAGTTTATAAATAATCTAAAACCAAAACATGACAGTAGCAAGACGTGTAATTGTGATATTATAAAAAGGTATTAAAAGGACATGAATAAATTTAAAAGATTCAAGATAAAGTACACGAAATCTTGCTCATGTAATCGATTATTTAATTTCAGCACATATTTTATGAATTAGTTTTAGCCCTTAACGTATTTAGTAAGTTTTCAGTAATCTTTCCGCTTATACTTTTGACGTTAAAACAAGATACATTTTGGTCATTCCTTTAACGATTCGTTCCACTAAAATAGGTCCATTAGATAATCAATAGCGGCGTTTTCCTTTAAGTGTATCTCAATTTGTATTCGACAGTTTAAGCCCTCGCTCGCTAATTTGCAGACTTTTAGGTGGCCCCTAAAAATTGCCAACCTTCTAGACTAAAACTACACGAAAATTTCATTTCTTCAAATTGATTAAGAAATATTTGAACTTCTGATTTTCTTTTAAATTCCTTTTCGAGTGCAAATCAATTATGTTTACTGATATTTTATTTCACTAAACTACAGTCACATAAAAACGGAATCAGACCATTCGTTCAAACTAATTTCAGCAAAAATCGATTCAGTTATATTTTATTAATTGTAAAATTTATTTCGTAATAATGTTTCAACCTTAAATTGGGATAAAACTCATGCTGATTACTGAAATTTCATATAGGTGTGCAAATTTATTGTTGTTTATAATTAACGTATATTATTACGAAGCCAGATTGACCATATTTACCGGACGCTATGTACACTGTACAATGTAATATACAACGCATTTCAAAATTGTTTATTATATTGCAGTCCACACCATAATTGAGTTCAAACCTTCATGGCATTTGAACTTTACGGTACAAAAACGTCAATGATAACAAGTAATTCCTGAAAATTTAAATTTAAAATTTAACAAAAAACAAATCTGTTACAAACAATTTCAGTTTAGATTAGTGCAATGGCAACCTACGATTAATGAAACTTTTTATGGATGGCACTGACTGAAAGCTTGAATTTTGTAGATTTTTCATCGGCTTGGTTTGGAAACTACCGCCAGTGCAAGCGCTTAAAACTATATAAGATAAAAATCCGGTCGCTTATGTCACAACTTCGAGATTAAACGAAACTTTTATTACCAATTCAACACAAACAAACACAAAATCATAACATATTCATATGCGAATGGTTCGTCTAATTTTTCACGGAGTCTTGACATGTTGCCGGAAATTTAAGCCTAATACCTACTTATGTAGTACATGGGCGTTACCAAGTACGAAATCCAAAAAGTTGGGTCAGTGATCTATGAGCTGTCGAAACCTTTAGATCGCGATCCCATCAGCACGCCGCAGACAGTTCCAATAGAACACTGACCAACGTTATTGCTGCCTTCAAACAGCGCTTACCGGATAGGTAACTACAAGCGGATTGTTCAACAATTTTTTTTTTAGTAATTACTGATAATAAACATATAAGTTAATAATATTTTTCTCTTGGATACGCCCATAATTTAGCACATACCTACATATATATTAAAAGCATGTAGATAGTATATACACCTTTACACTTTCATTTACAAGTTGATGTTAAATTTAACATTAAATTCGATTGAACCGTAACACCCGAGGGAAGAAGAATAATAAAGTGAGAAGCACATTTCAATGAACTGAATTAAAATTAATTTTAAGTTAATTTGGTGGTGATATGCTGCCGTTTTTTCACTGCCTTTCAGTTACACAGTTCGAATACATAATTAAATTTTCCATATTTGTGGATTGGATTTTGCCTCGTCATTTTTACCGTGAAATTGAATTAAAAAATCAGCTTCCTTTAATGGAAAAAATGATTTATTTATTGAATTACTATTCCCGTGGTGTATATTTTCGAGATTTTTCAACTCCAACATGTCACAAATACTTTTAAGTAATACTTTAAGATGTTATTTGCAAATTGTGTGTTATAACGTCAAACAAATTAGTTGAGGGCGTCGCCAAGGGGGTAGAAAGATTATTTGTTGCTCAATTTGTAATTCTCGAACATCGAAATCGAAAGAAATGATTCACAATTTCGTCTACTTTTTAACCAATTTTCAAATTTAGACACATGAAATTTCAAGTCAATTTTAATTTTTATTACGACAGGGTGTCGTAAGGTAATTTGCGTTTTGACGAAGAGTTTTTACGAAATCGAAGAAAATAATTCATAATTTCAACACCCTTTTAACCAATTTTCAAATTTGGACGCCCAAAATTTGGCTCTACAGTAATTCTTATAGTAAACGATCAAAAGTTTATTAATTGTAAATATTTATTTTAGCTACAAAACTAATTAAAGAAGATATAACTACATCTTTTATTTATCATCTTGGCCCCCCACCCACTGTGGCCCGCTGGCGAAGTTCTTCTAATTACATCATCATTTCAAGTCATAATAATTAGGCTGAATTTTTAACTAGCCGCTGTCAAATCTGCCTACGCAGAATTAAAAATGGCAAATTATTCGTAATATTAATGCATACGTACGCTTATTACTTACCTGTTTTTCTTTTATTATCTAATATGTAACCAGTTTTGAATTTACGGGTAATTATCCATTGACTGACTTGAAATGAAGTAAAAACTGCACGTTAAAAAAGCCAATCTTATCTAGAAAACAAAATCTATAAAAGTTAACGAGAGCAACCTAACACTTTATAAACTATCTGATCCTTTCGGCTATTTTACAGTCAGGAAAAGTTAATGTAGACAAATTTCATTAAACGCACAAATCACAAACTTTTTAATTATTGTCTGGCACACAACACAAGTTGGCTTATTACCTATAGAAGAATATTTAAGGGAGGTGTCCCCATAATAGGTATATTTTAACCAATACTTGTAAATAACGATGTATTTATGTTTAAATAGGGTGAAAGTGAAAATTTTGGGTCGAATCGAGTCAAGTATGTTTGGCCCATCTACGTATGTAAGATATAAATTTAATTCGAGTTATTTTTAATCGACTTAAGAACAAAAGAATACATTCATAATTGGACAACAAAAATTCCAAATCATTTGTGTTAGTCTGTTCCAGATTGTATTGTTTTTAGTTTATTTTTCTAGATTAAAAATTCTATAAAATTCAATAGGTAGAAAATCAAAAATACAATTACAGTTGCAAAGAAATTCATGTGTCACAGATTATGGGGACAACTCCCTCAAACAGAGGTTTATATTTATACATAAGTAAGTATATATGGCAACTCAATGGTTTATCTATTTTTATTAAATAGAATTCAAAAAATAGTATAAATAAGTACCTTTAATTTCCATGCTCGTATGTATGTACATCTTTTTAGCTAATTTTAAGGAAAGCAGCGGAAGGTAATTTGTATAATTATCTATTAAAAAAGGAAAACTGAAATAACTTTGCAAACGTATACCTATGGCTTACATTAGTGTAAAATAGCTTATACTTAATATGATAATACGTATGTGACTTGTACTTTTTATGCCATGCTTCCTATGCCCATTATTCCAATTATGCCTTTATCTGTTAAAGAAACTCAAATCGAATTATAGAATACAGATAATGGGCTTTATGACGGTGTAACTTTTATACAATACGTTAATAACTAATAAGATTTTATGGTTGACAGCGAGCTGACACAGTAAATGCAGAAATGCATTATTATCACTCTATAATTTACAACAGACATGTCACGACTATTGAATAATTCTGTATTAAAATAAAACATAATTAGGCCACATTTTAATTTGTGCGTAAAATATTGGTATACCTGTAATGGGATTCAGTTAAAAAAAAAACAGCATGAACAAGTAGTAACAAAACATTTCAGCATTATTAAAAACACGGTGGAGTTTCCAATGCTGTTAATTCTACCGCATGTAGAAACTGTAGACATAATCGGCGAATTATTTAAAAAAGAAAACCGCGTAATGAGAAGTTAGGTATATAAATAATGCTTTAATTACCACACTTGATACCGCTTTAGTGTTTTATATTGTACAATACAAAGTACATATATGCATTGTGAACATGGTGATTTTGCATCAATGTATTTGATTCCCGGATTTGCTTTTCCCGCTGGTATTACCAAAAACAATGCTTTAATCATAGATCATTAGCATCAAAACATTTGTTCTCACGCGCCGTAATTAGTGGCCTTAATTAACAGAAGTTTTGTAAATTCCGTAGCTGCGGAAACCGGTTTCAACATTATCGATACCGGGGGCTGTGAAAAATTCCAGTAACAAGGACTCAGGCACAGGGCGAGGTCTACAGGACGATCACGGTATATCCGGAAGCGGGAATACCGATTATCCACGGTTTGCCGATGAAAAAAATGCAGGAAACGTCGGCGTTTTCAAAGGGCCTTCTTCTGCTAGTCTTAAGCACAAACCAAACGTAGGATACCGACTGGGACGACGTAAAGCCTTGTTCGAAAAAAGGAAAAGGATTAGCGATTATGCGTTAGTTATGGGAATGTTTGGAATTGTTGTTATGGTGATCGAAAATGAACTTAGTAGTGCCGGTATATACCGAAAAGTAAGATTTAAATCAATCACTGAAAGGCGTAGAGTATTTTTTATTTATTTTCAGGACGAATTTTATTCTATAGCGCTCAAAACTTTGATATCCGTTTCGACTGTGATTCTTTTGGGCCTAATTGTGGCCTATCATGCTTTAGAAATACAGGTAAGAACACCGTTTAAAAACACTTCAACACAACAGTGATGAGCAAAATCTATTTTAGTTTTGATCTTGACAAAAACACAAGATCAAAAACTAAATCTGAAAAACCAAATTTGAAAGAAATTAAACAATTTTGATTTCTTATTTATGGTAAACTTTTTAATATAATAATACAAAACAATTAAAAAATGTCTAACCGGTCTTTAAAACAACGACCGCATGATAATTATTTCTTCCAGAAAATTCTGCATTTTTGGAAATAATAAGGGCACGATTTTGTTCATAATTGTTTTGAAGTAATTTTTAACAATATCTCTAGGGGTAACGTTTAAAATGTCAAAGATAAAACCTTTATTTCTTTGTTCATACTTATTAGTCCATATGTTACCTACTTGGTTTGTCCCATCGAATACTTTTGAGTAGATTCCTATGAATTTCTAATAAACTGTAAGAAAATGTGGCAGTCAAGTAAACATGCTTTGTAGATAGAGTAGACACAAACAATATTAAAAAACTGCGCTGTTGGTATTGCTTTTGCTCATCACAACACAAAAATAAAATGAATTTCGAATAACATCTATGTCTATCTAAAGAAATCCTGACACGTATTTCAATGCAATCATTTTCAAACGGTAACAACAATGTTACATTTTTATGTTATTTAAAGTTCAAGTAATTATTCTTTAACTTGTTGTAACTTACTATTCATTCTTCGTCAAGACCTGCGTATGTACCTACAAAAAAGTAGATCACTTTTAATGTACAAACTACATCAGTTTCCTGTTGAAACAATTTTTAAATGTCTATTTGTAACAAAATTATGGTTTGCAGCTGTTGTAGATCATTATGACTTTTGCAGGGGTATTAAGCTGCCAAATCCAATTTTACCTGAGCACATGCCACATTCAGTTTCTGATTAATCGCTTTACTCATTTAGAATTATTACAACAACATAAAATGCACGACTATTTTGTGTTATATTTGAGTTTAATCTGTTCTGATAAATCTATAATTGGTTTATCTGTGAGTGCATAACACGTTTTGTAAATTTTATTAGAATTTACAACTAATCGATAAAACATTTTTGTTTATTCTTTATAAATTTCCGCACTATAAGTAATTCGAATTGTTCTTATTATTCAGTTTCAGGATTTCGCTTTTTTTTTTTTTAAGAAATAATGGACGGAATGGAAAAAAGTTTCCGAAAGTTCAAAAGTATGTTTTGCTTCTTTTAACGATTCTACCTGCAGTCAGCAGTTCTGAATTGAAACTAAGTTTAAATATAAATCTCAAGAGGCCATATTTATCATCTGAATAATTTTAAAAGTTCTGTTAAAAGATTCCTTGTTCTATGCAACAAAAAACATATTACGTTTTTCCTTAAGTTGGGCACAATTAAAAATAAGTCAACGCAAAATAATCGGAACAAATTTTTATGGGAGAAAAAGTTGAGGTTTTTTTATTTTACCAGTCACGTCTTTCCGACAAAAGAAATGTATAAATGAAATAGAGGTAGACACTGGAAGGGTTCGTGTTCTTTCCTGAATTCTTATCGCCCATTTGTAGTGAAATGGTGAACAGGGCTGAAATATCTTTTAATAATAGCGCCAGATGGTATTTCAGCAGTTTCTTTTTTTTTTTTTTCTAAATAACTCTCGTAGGAGCATTTTAAAAATAGCGTTTGTTTCACTTTTTCTTACGTGTACGTAGTTGCGCGATTGACAGCTCAAAAAGGGTACAAAAATAAAAATTTTATTGACGATAGAATTTCCTGAAAAATAAACAATAAAAAAGTTGAGATCGTGTGACAATAACACTTTCAGATACACTCTATAAAAATCCTACATTTAATAAAACGTCAAAAACACGGGACATATTACATAACAACTTGTGTGTATTTTATGATACAGCAAACAGACTGTAGAATTCCGTTCCAAAATTGACAAAAAATAGAGTTACATCATAGGCAATCGCGTATGAACACTGTTGAACTACAGCATCCCCTATTTCTGCTTGATAACATCCATAACATTTTATACATATAATGAGTCCGTTTTTCTTTTAATTCTTCCTTTATTCATAATATAGATATGATCTTTTGCACTGTCACTCCCGCAGCACTAACCATGGCGTGCTGATGGAAGGTTGTTCTTTTTACTACAATGCTGCGCGATTATCTGCTTTTCTTACATGGACGTACCATTTGATAAAATTAAATTTTATATGCAGTACTTGAATAGCCCCGTGCCCGTAACGGTTGAAACTCTTCAAATAAATTTCAAAAAAGAGATAAAGGAATGTAGCTATGCGGATGAGTTTTATCCACATTATCAAAGTGAAAGATTTTTATTCAATCTCATTTTCAACTAACACACCTCACTAAAAATCTATAAAATGTTCGAAACAAACTTAATTACAATATTAAATGAAGACTTTTAATAGGTAAACAAAATACCGTGTTTCAAGGCATAAAGCTATCAACATTTTTCTGGAAAACACAATTAAATTTTATTAATTACTTCGTTAAAGGTTTAACAGCTTCACGTTTCATTAAAGTTAATATGATGCTGAAACTGACGTAGTGTACATATGCAATTTGATATTTAATGAGCTACGGCGCCTATTAATTAATTAATTATTATTATTTCCACCTGAATTAACTTCCGCGTAGGTATATTTTTACACATCGTTCAAGTTTTCCAAAGATTATCAAAGAAGTAAAACTAAAGTTGAAGTTTTATCGATCGTTTGCTTCCGCAAATGATCCATGATGATTCTGTTTAACTTTTCAGCTTTTTATGATAGACAACTGTGCCGATGACTGGCGAATTGCCATGACTTGGCAAAGAATAGGGCAAATTTCAATGGAACTGATGATATGTGCAGTGCATCCTATACCAGGCAATAATCAGTTTGTTTGGACTACAAAACTGGCTAATAAAAGTGGAGGTATTGGTAAAAAGTGTGTCCCCTATGACGTACCCTTATCCCTACCAATGTTTCTTCGGCTCTACCTTATTTGCCGAGTAATGCTTTTGCATAGTAAATTATTCACTGACGCTTCGTCAAGAAGTATAGGGGCCCTTAATAGAATTAACTTCAATACACGTTTTGTATTGAAGACACTCATGACCATATGTCCTGGCACTGTTCTCTTGGTTTTTATGGTCTCCTTGTGGATAATAGCTAGCTGGACTCTACGACAATGTGAAAGGTAAGAATCATTAAATTTTCGACTACAGCGCCCGCTCTAGTAACTTCGCCCCGGGCAAAAAACAAATTACCGCCCTTGAGAATATATATAAATTTTTTAAATAAAAATCAAATCATCCAATTTTAATAAAACCATATATTCAACAGCGTAAGACTGATTATTAAGTGGTACAGAATTGTAGAAATTAATTAGGTGCTATTGAAAATCTACTTTATTGCAGTTAAAATGCAATTACATATAGATATTAAAAATAATACAAGGTAATATCAACTATACAAAAATCACAAAAAAGGTTTTTTCTCACTTTCAATTGTACGTTCTCAGTTTATTTGACCATTAAGACGATTTTGTGTAGTAGTCGAAAGAAAAGAATTCTTATTTAATTTTGAAAAAATCGATATGTGAAATTTTCTGTTAATTGGATATTTAACAAATCAATATTTTTCTCATTTTCTGAAACAGTCAAAATTCCGCCCTCAAATTTTGGCGCCCCGGTCAATTGTCCACAGATTGTCCGCACCTGGAGCGGGCGCTACCAACTATCTTTACAAATTAAATCCCATTTTAAATATGAAAATAATTTCATAACATAGTATTCAACTAACTGTTCGAAACTGGATTCAAATCCGTCAGAATTCAAGTACTCTACCCAGTCAGCGTGTTGAAAGAAACTTTAGATTTCACGCTCTTTTTTACATCCATGGTTTTACTTACAATTAAGCCTTTCAGGAACGGTTTATATTTAGTGTGATATTTATATTTTCCTAAAGCATATCGCATGAAATTTCATGCTGAAAAAACCTTCATCGCAGATAATGATTCTTACTATAAAATCTTTGTAAAACTTTCTAATTGCAGACATCATGAACACATTCTATTGCTTCACACTTGTAAAAATTTAAAATTATCGACCTAATATGGTGAATTCACGTAAAATATGTCACCTGGAGATTGGTACGGTAACTAGATGCAAACCTAATGTCGAAATTACCAAATTTATTGATTACAGTTCAAAAATCTGCAATTATGTATATATACCTAATGTACGAGGGTGGATTGATAAGTTTCCGGCCTGACCAAGAAAAACAAGGTTTTTAAAATTTTTTTTTTTTTATTTCTCAACATAATCTCCTCCAAGGCTGATACATTTCTCATAGCGGTGTTCCAGTCTATTAATGCCATCTCTATAGACTGATTCGTCAAGCTCCTCAAAATAACCATTTACAGCTTCGATTACTTCTTCATTGTCCGCAAATCTCTTACCGCCAAGCCATTTTTTGAGATTAGGGAACAGAAAATAGTCACTCGGGGCTAGGTCTGGAGAGTAAGGAGGGTGCGGCATCAATTCAAACTTTAGATCGTTGATTTTAGCCGTCGCAACGATTGACGTGTGCGCTGGTGCGTTATCGTGATGAAACAAGATTTTTTTCTTCGCCAGATGAGGTCGTTTAATTTTCACCTCGTGGCTCAAACGTTGCAATAAGTCTGCGTAGTATTGACCAGTGATAGTATTACCCTTTGCAAGGTAATCAATGTATATAATACCTCTTGCATCCCAAAAAACAGTAGCCATAACCTTGTTCGCCGAAAAAATTGTTTTTGCCTTCTTTGGAGTTGGTTCCCCTGGTCCAATCCACTGTTTAGACTGTTCTTTGGTTTCAGGAGTGTAGTGGTGGACCCACGTTTCGTCAACGGTTACGAATCGACGCAAAAATTCGCTTGGATTACGCTTATACAATGACAAATTTGCGGTAGAAATGTTTTTTCGAATCAATTTTTGGTCGACTGTTAGCAAACGCGGCACCCATCTTGCACAGAGCTTTTCCATATGCAAATGTTGGTGCAAAATATGTTGCACACGTTCATATGACATCTTACAGGTCTCAGCTATCTCACGCACTTTCAATCTGCGGTCTCCCAGCACTATTTGATGAATTTTTTCGATCATATCTGGAGTTGTGACCTCAACGGGGCGTCCTGAGCGAGGCCCATCAGAGGTGCTCACACGACCCTTTTTAAACTCGGAAACCCACTGCTTAACGGTTGAATATGACGGGGAGGATGTCCCCAGTGTTGAGTCCATCTCTTTTTTAATTTCCTTCGGCGTTAACCCCTTCAAATAAAAGTATTTGATGACAGCACGATTTTCCTGCTTTTCCATTTTTACGAAAACCACAGAGGCGTCTTGTTCAGCGTGCTGTCAAACCTACACTAGCAAGGAGATCGGGCTGAAACTATAGCTACAAGCTATCCAAGGATGGTACTATAGAATGTCACCTCAAGGTAGGCCTAGTGGCGTCATCTCTTGGTTAGGCCGGAAACTTATCAATCCACCCTCGTATATTTTTGTGTAGTTTCTGTACACACCATCCCATGCATTTAAAAACCCTTTCAAATGGTTAACTTGCATAAAGTGAAATGAAACTAAAAAGAAAATAATAGTGCGAAGCTGAAATTTCCATAAATCATGACAAATAGACTAATTGTAAGATACCATCAAGAACAATCATTAAGAAAGATAAATTGTTTGAAGTGCCACAAAATATCCACTCATTTCTATCCTGAGTAAATCTTCGCATTTACCTAAAACTACTATGGAACATCCCACATCCTTAACTTTTTGAAAACCATCATCTAATTTAGGTCTTCTTCTATCTTTCTTTACTTCTGTTTCTGCTTCTAATACGTCTCTAACTACGCCTTCATGTCTGAGAAGGTGTCTTAACATCCTCTCTCCCCTTTTCCTTATTGACTTTTCTTTGTTCTCCTGTTTATAATATTTCGTTATTTCTATCCATTGTATTTTTAAAATTCTTCTTTAACACCACATCTGAAAATTTTTTAAACTTTTTTTTTACACCATCCACGTTGATGGTATACGAGGTGTTGTAATTAAGTTGCGGAAATTTAAATAAAACACAAGTGAATTAGTTTTTGCTCAATACAATACATTATCGGCATTCATAATAGTCACCTTCCAACTCTATAGACCGTTGTCACCGTCTTTTTAACCCCTTGAAAGCACCCTTCATAGCCTTTTGAAATTATCGAAAGCAGAACCGTCGTTACAGCTGCCTTGACCTCTTTTATACTGCCATGAAGAGGTGGGATTTAATTTTTGAAAAGAGAAATAGGTTTAAATCCGGATTGTAGAGGAAATGTGGTTGATAATTTTTTTGGCCAAATACACGCGGACAATCATGGAAGAATGCGCAAGCTCGTTGTCATGATGAAGAATCAAGCTTTTCTCTACGCCTTACGCGAAAAATGTGTGCCCTCAGGACGCCAATATAAAACTGTCCAGAAACTGTCTGGCAAAGAGGAACATACATGCAGTGGGTAATGCTCTCCATATGGAAAAGAACGATCAGCATTTTCCTTCATCTTAGACATCCTTGCTTTCATTGCGCCCTCTCTCAGGACTCATCTTCATACCCATTTTCCAATTCGCCGAGAATTTCAGATGGTTTTTCGCCAAATTTCACTAAATATTATATTACGACACGTTTTTGTGATTTGAGTCATTCATTTTTGAGAAGCTACTAAAAAATTTACTTACGAAAAACACGGATTAAAGGTGAACGATGCGACTTAGCAACTTCAAAATTGTACGGGTACCAAAGAAAGGTTCACAATTTGCAACAAGGTGAGTTGTTCAGTGGGAAATGACAACTAAATTTCGGGAATTTAGTTACTACACCTCGTATATTCGAAATCAATTCTCCGAGTTCAGAATGAACTTAGCCCAACTTTCTTGTCGAGCTGTGTGCTGCGTGTAGACTGTGACCTGTAGCCGATGTTACGTCCTAGATCACATAAACCACCTTCAGGGATTTTCTAATAATATTTTTGAAGAAACTTACTGAGTAGTTTGTATTTCGTTAAATATCTTCCCCGTAAGGGCTGTTTTCGAAGTTTCTGTAATCTATAGAAAATGCACAGTGGGCTGCGGTTTAAACTCAAAAGTAAGGCACCGAACAAATTTTATGTGTATTCATAATATTTTTGTAATTAAAGTTCTTTTGACAGAAATCGATCTTCCTAATTAAAAATTAAATAAAAAATTTTCCTGAAACCGTTTTAATTTCGTTAAACTAAATTTTCTGGGTCAAATTTCCTAGGAAAAACTTAACCTTCTTAATATCAACGTAATCCTTTTTGGTTAAGCAGTTTCTTTAATTTTTTTTTTGGTAGAGCTGGAGCTGTTTACTGTTTTCTTTTCCTTCATGTCGCATCAATTTAAGCGGTTTTATTATTCGCTTCGCTTCATTCTTTTGTTTAGAAACTTTTACCAAAAAAATAAAAAATAAAAAACCAACCCACACCTTTATAAATAGATACATGCTTTAGAAGGATTTATTGAAAAAAGTGAAAAAAAAAATGTTTCTCGGTTGAAAAAACGCAGATTTTTTTAGATTCCACGATGAAGAGCATGCAAACCTATTGAATGCCATGTGGTTGATAGCAATAACATTCCTCAGCGTTGGATTTGGAGATATAGTACCCAATACCTATTGTGGTAGAGGTATTGCGGTTAGTACTGGAATTATGGTAAGTAAACCTTTTTCATGTTGCAATTTCTACTGAAAACGTTTCGAATTACGGAATGGTCTTCCGGATATTAATATTTGATAAACAAATTTTCAAAAGTGAATCCTTTATTTATTTGAAGTGAAAATAATTTTGTAGACTTTGTAGAGCGTTCACTATTATCTTTGAAGTAAATTTGCGTCAATAATTAATTAAAAGAATATCTATAAAGAATATAATTCGTTATAAGAAGAAGCTTTCAAGCTTTCACAGCCGAGTTATCTGCGGCTGATTTCTTCACAATTGCCGACGAAACGAAATGAAAAACCACATAAACAGAACAGTTCAATATTCCTCGGTTTTTCGAAATTTCGAACATTCGTTTCTACATTTCGAATGTCGTATTCAATCTGTAAAGTCCAATATCGTCAAGTGTGGCTGGACGTTGTTCGCGAAAGCGGCTAACTGAAAGTTTTAAGCAACTGACAGACCTCAAATACTTTTGTACTAATCTTATGAGTGGATGAGTAAACATGTTCGGAATTGTGTGCAAAATCTAATCAGTTCGGGACAATGTTGTCTCTCACAAAGTTAGACCGCGACCGCAGTGACCCAAAGAAAATACCACATAATCGTAAACACTGTTATCTCTTATCTTTCGAGCTTCAACAAAAGTGGTAAACTACCCTTGGATGTCTTACCGTAAACTGAAACAACAAACTTCTATTCCAGGTGACCACACTTTTATACACACTTAGCATTCTGTTAGCTAAAGTAACAAAGTTTCAGTAACTAATGATATTAAGCTTGCAGGATTTTTCAATTCACTACCTACCACTTATTTTATGTGTTTTAGACAGTAGCATACATATGCAATAAATAATTAAAACAAAATACAGTCGAACTTCTGTTACTCGAACTTCTACAACTCCAAATCCAAATTTTCTAACATTTACATTTATTTCAAATTCCATTATAAATAGTTTCTGGAATATCTATTAATTTTCTTTGCGTAAAATCGATGCCATTGATACTTTTGATCTCCACGTCGAGAACTACCAAAATCCAAAGTTTAACATAAGCTCATTTTCCGTATGGTTTTGCGGGGTCCTTTTTTATTCCATTCTACAATGTAAACTAACTATTAACTTTACTGTTTCAGGGAGCAGGGTGTACGGCATTACTCGTTGCCGTTGTTTCAAGAAAGTTGGAACTTACTAGAGCTGAAAAGCATGTCCACAATTTTATGATGGATACTCAACTAACAAAAAGAGTAAGTTCAAACTATTCTTACTTACTTAAAAGTTCATCTTTATTATTCGCATTTTAGTTAAAAAATGCAGCAGCAAACGTATTACGAGAAACTTGGTTGATATATAAGTATACAAGGCTAGTGACCAGAGTAAATCCCGGACGTGTGAGAACACACCAAAGGAAATTTCTCCTTGCCATTTACGCGTAAGTATTGAATTCATCACTTTTATCGTGAAATGTTTCTCAAAATTGCTTTGCAGGTTGCGAAAAGTTAAAATGGACCAAAGAAAGTTAATGGACAACGCCAACACCATTACCGATATGGCAAAGGTAAAACACTCTAGCTATTCGATTCGTTATTTCGTTGGTTCATGTTTCATTGAACAATTTTTTTTTTTTTCTAGACACAAAACACCGTTTACGAGATCGTTTCCGATATGAGTTCTAGGCAAGATACGTTAGAAGATCGATTGACGAACATGGAAGACAAAATGATCGCTTTACAAGAACAAATCGACCTTTTACCTGATATTATTGCAGCCAGAATTCAAGCCCAAGTAAGTTTTTAACATTATTTTTTAAGGGACACCTCCGCGGATAAATTAATTCTACGACTAATACACTATCGGAAATGTTCATTTAAAAGTTGCAAAAGTTGCAACGCATACCTTATCCTAATATCGAAAGCCAGCACTGCTGAGTTCGTATGTAAATAATTTTTTTATTTTATTAGTGGAACAATATGACGTCTGTAGTCCTCTAGTACTTTATTAGAGGCACACCGTATGTATAGAATAATATAATGTACATTTAGATATGTGCGTATGTTACATTAGTAAAAGGGATCAAATTTTTCCGTGGTGCAAGATGCATGGTGCTCCTTAAAGAGAACAACAATATTGCGTCGTAAAATCCGGATTTATACGGAAAATATAGTTAGCTTCTCCACGCCAGCGCAACACGGAAATGGTGCAATTTTTACCAGCTTTAACGGATCAGCGATATGGAACTCTATTCTCTTCTTATTTATGTTTATTATTTTTTTACTAGTTTCTTTTTTAATAAGGTTACGGTAGGAAAAGACAACACAAACAAAATGTTGTAAATGGTGCTACTGCCGCGTATATTTCGGATTTTATACCATAATCGTAGGCGTGGCTTGTGCTGGCGTTAAGTATATTTAACTCTACCGGCTACTACGAACCAATATGAAAATCCAGGGCACCAAAGGGTTTTAATAAAAAGTTTCGATGATAACGAACATATTTTTTTGGATCTGTTGTTCGTAATAACCGAGATTAACCATATTAGGCAATGCACTTTTATTTTTTCTGACTTTATTCGCATAAGGGTGGATTTTCGGTAGTTACATTGACCTTTCGTGTAATTAGGCGGAAAAAATGGAACAAAGGAGAAATTTCCTTCACCCTGAATCAGCGGCTGGTCTTCAGCAGTCTAGAAGTGTGCCACCAGCATGCCCTTGGCCCGGTCCTGTTGCAGTGATACCATCTCCAATAGGTAAACTTCCACCACCCACTACGACAAAAAGCTGATTTCACCCATGGAATACTTGTCTAGTCAATTTTTTTAATAGGAAGGATAATTTTTCTAAATCTAGTGCCATATTAATTGAACTGATAACAACAAATTTTTTACCGTTGTCTTGTATATAAAAAAAAATTGCTTTCGTTTATTCACCAGTCTATTAGTTTAATTATTTATTAATTTATTTAAAATACACTACAACGATCGTGTAGTATGTTAGAGCCTTAAATTAATTAATTGAGTGAAGTTAAAGTAACGATAATGAATAGCAGTTTCTACACAAATAGCATAGCAAAGCCTTAATTGATAGAAATAATTACATTACAAAAAAAAAACAGAGTACCTTATATTATACATACATGCATTATATTTACTGTAATAGCCTCGTACATACGTGAAATAACCGAAATAGAAGTAGAACTTTTTATGAGTATTAAAACAAATTATTTAAAGGATTGTCTAACAAAAATTGTTTTCCAAAATATCAAATGTTACATCACTCTAATTGTTCGCAATTAAACACATATTATGTTTGGAAAAACACTGCCAGATGTTTTTCGAAAACTAGTTTAAAAATAATGTTTACGAAAACAAATTGGTTTTTGTTTTCTTTAAACATTATTTTTTCTCAAATTCATTTATTTTTTTATCCATTAGCATCGTAAACAAAAAATAATACATGTTATATTTTTCTGTTTGCGTACGTGGGTCTTTCTCTTTTTGTGTTTTTGATGTGACTATAATTTTGGAAAACATTTTTTAACTATGACCACCGTATAGAACATATAATAACAAATTTTTAAATTACAAAATATAGGTACTTTTTACAATAATTATATAAACCAAACTGTTATCTAATATTTCCAAGGTACCGTTTTAATTAATGATAATTTTTAAGCTGGTTTAACAGAGGTAAAAAGCAAAAGATTGCAACTATAGATGTAAATAAAATGATCTATTCTTTTCATTTTATTTATAATCATTTTAGTATAAATGTACATTCCTTTTATTTATAAAAAANGGTTTAACAGAGGTAAAAAGCAAAAGATTGCAACTATAGATGTAAATAAAATGATCTATTCTTTTCATTTTATTTATAATCATTTTAGTATAAATGTACATTCCTTTTATTTATAAAAAAGATCAGTTTATCCTCAAAATGTAACAATATTCAAATAATAGTCCCACTAAGGCTGAATATAAAATTTTTTACAAATAGAAACAGAACATTTTAAATATTACCTGATGCTTTAGAAACGTATGTACATTCATCGTTTTACGAAAAAATTATTGTGATTTTTAAAAACGAAATACCGATTTCTAAAGCATTAGCTACTAAATATTGAATCTTTTATTATAACTACTTATTGTATAATTTTTTAAACAATTCAATACCTACATAAAATGTTTTATATTCAGTTTACTACTACGTACTTACTGAATGAATTTCTACTACGAAAACAAGTAAAGCTTTACACAAGACGGTATTAAAAATTCCTATACTTATGGGTACTACATACTACAAACTGAACAAGAATTTAAATAGGTTTACCATGTAAAATTTATAAACAGGAACAAATAGGGTTACTAATTAATTAAGGACTAATATCTGTTCGTTAATTTTGGTTTACAAAGTATTTTGTAAAAATTTACATGGTATATACGAAAGTGTACTTTGTAATTTTTTTACAAGAAACGGTGATATTCGTCTATAATGAAATCATGTAATTTTCCTAGTCAAAGGTATTTACTACGCAATTTGCAATTTCAAAACGAAAACGTAGTAAATGCCCTTGTTGCTTGCTTGTTTGTGACACTTGTCTCAGTTACAAAAAAAAGAAAAAAAAAACGAAAAAGAATGGTGTGATAGAGTAAAGGTGCACCTTATTATGTTACACACTCAGAGGTCCAAATTGTTAAAAAAATTAAGCGTTTCGCTATTTCACAAGATTTTTTAAAATATTAAATGAAAAATCAAACATATGTAACCACCTGTCTGCAGAAGTAGTCTGTTAAATAATAATAATAATTACATAAACTTACATTAAGTCAGCACAACAAATTTTTAGTAATAATGTTTGCTTCTACAGTTGTCAAAATTAAACTACTATAGTTTCATAAAAACCGAGTTTAATTATTCACATTTCACCACAAATATCTCCCCAAGACTTTTGAACAGACCGCTATAAATAAGCGTTATTATTATCATTAAGAACGAAGTCATTTCTTGTTATTATCCTTCCGTTTCGTCCTTCATATATATGAGTAAAACGTCTTTTAGAACTACTTACTACTATTCATTCTAGTTCATAAATGTTTATAGCTTCTCCACGCCAGCGCAACACGGAAATGGTGCAATTTTTACCAGCTTTAACGGATCAGCGATATGGAACTCTATTCTCTTCTTATTTATGTTTATTATTTTTTTACTAGTTTCTTTTTTAATAAGGTTACGGTAGGAAAAGACAACACAAACAAAATGTTGTAAATGGTGCTACTGCCGCGTATATTTCGGATTTTATACCATAATCGTAGGCGTGGCTTGTGCTGGCGTTAAGTATATTTAACTCTACCGGCTACTACGAACCAATATGAAAATCCAGGGCACCAAAGGGTTTTAATAAAAAGTTTCGATGATAACGAACATATTTTTTTGGATCTGTTGTTCGTAATAACCGAGATTAACCATATTAGGCAATGCACTTTTATTTTTTCTGACTTTATTCGCATAAGGGTGGATTTTCGGTAGTTACATTGACCTTTCGTGTAATTAGGCGGAAAAAATGGAACAAAGGAGAAATTTCCTTCACCCTGAATCAGCGGCTGGTCTTCAGCAGTCTAGAAGTGTGCCACCAGCATGCCCTTGGCCCGGTCCTGTTGCAGTGATACCATCTCCAATAGGTAAACTTCCACCACCCACTACGACAAAAAGCTGATTTCACCCATGGAATACTTGTCTAGTCAATTTTTTTAATAGGAAGGATAATTTTTCTAAATCTAGTGCCATATTAATTGAACTGATAACAACAAATTTTTTACCGTTGTCTTGTATATAAAAAAAAATTGCTTTCGTTTATTCACCAGTCTATTAGTTTAATTATTTATTAATTTATTTAAAATACACTACAACGATCGTGTAGTATGTTAGAGCCTTAAATTAATTAATTGAGTGAAGTTAAAGTAACGATAATGAATAGCAGTTTCTACACAAATAGCATAGCAAAGCCTTAATTGATAGAAATAATTACATTACAAAAAAAAAACAGAGTACCTTATATTATACATACATGCATTATATTTACTGTAATAGCCTCGTACATACGTGAAATAACCGAAATAGAAGTAGAACTTTTTATGAGTATTAAAACAAATTATTTAAAGGATTGTCTAACAAAAATTGTTTTCCAAAATATCAANGAAGGGCAAATCGGACGGAAGAAGATACGATACAAATAGTTTTTATTAAAAATATTTCAAGGTTGTCAGTTTGTGTTATACAGTCATTAGAATAACAGTTAGTTTAGTTTCGCATTAATTAAAATGTGCTGTGTGAATAAATAAGCAATCAGGAAAATTTGTGTTACCCTCTTGCATGGATTTAAATCTACAACAATCAACGATACACCTAAGTAGTAAGTTTTACATCCATATTTTATATTTAAATAATTTTAGGCGTTGTGTTTATTGAATGTTCTTATACCTGTGCATGAGTTATATATCGGATACGTATAAAAGCATTCAATGGGTAGATTTTAAACTTTATTATTGGATCAGCCCGACATCCGTATGTTAAAGCCGTTTTTTTGATCCTTTTTGCACAAAGATAATCTTACAAATACTCAGAGTTTTTGTATTAATTAACATTTAATGAATGGTACACACAATAGAGATCAGCAAATTCGTAATCAACAGTTCTTCTGCTAATTCAATTTTCTTAAAAGTATTTACCTAACTCATTATAAGAAATATCATTCTTTGATCGACGCTCTGAACGGTTAATAAGGTAAACTATCGTCGTCGTAATGTCAAAAATAAGACTATAGACGCACTTAGAAATACTCGTTTAAATTTTGTTTTTACGATAAATTCAACTATAATTTTTAATTAATATATACACAACCCAACATAAACCAAATATTACAATTCTAATAATGTAACTACAAAGTTAAAAAACAGCTTTTCTTACGTAAAACAATACTATTTTCAATATTACGTAGAAATAATTAATTAATTAGTAATATATTTAATTAAGTCTACTTGTAAAATTTGCTTGAAAACTTTCAAAAGTTAATAATTACAGTGTATTTGGATACTAATTACGAGTTTTTAGTTCATTTTAATGGAAAACTACAATTTTATTCCCGAAAATAAGACATTCATGAAGATGCATAAATGTTATCAACAATTATCAAAAAGTTTTATTGAAACTTTTGGTGGAGGCGCCGGGACACTTAAAATAAACGCTATATTGAGCTGTAATTCCGATTTCATTGGAGTGGAATGATGAATATTCATTTTTAAGTTATATTTTTTCCTGTAGACATACTTACAGACGCTAATTTATATTTTTTTTAACAATAAATTGAACTATAATTTGTAATATAGCATGTATGCAACCCAACATACACCAAATATTACAATTCTAATAATGTAACTACAAAGAAAGTTAGAAAACAATTTTTCTTGCGGAAATAACATTCTTAAGTAAAACACAATACTATTCTCAATATTACGTAGAAATAATTAGTTCATTCGTAATATTTTTAATGAAACCTACTGGTAAAATTGGATTGAAAGGTTTATATTATTATTGAGCTGTAATTCGGCTTTTATTCAAGAAGACTCATAAATTTTCATATTAAAATTATATATTTTCCATGTAGACGCTCTTAGAAAGGCTAATTGATGTTCTTCTTTTTATAAATTAAACTACTGTTAGTAATATAACATATACACAACCTAACACACAGCTTAACTTTCAAAAAAGTACAAAAACAATTTTTGTCATGGAAATAACTTCTTACTTCATATCCCTAGGTTCGTAATATACTATTATCAACGCGTTTTGAGTTATATGAGTCTTGATTTATATGGAACATTAAAATCTACAACCACCAGTCAGTAACTATCATTTTATTTACCTTTATAAATTAGTTAATTAACAGGTAACAAATAAATCTACGTTTAAAGTATTTAAAAATGTTTATTATAATACAAATACATTTACTGATGATATACAAAATGGAAAGATTTACCGATAGAAATTAGGTACATGTACTTTTTGGATATGGTTGCTGAACATTTACAAAGATTACCACAATAAACAAATATCATATTGTACAAAAAAATATCAACAAACAACAAATAATTACGTTTTATTTGCAATAAGAAATATGTATGTATATATATATATATGTAAATATATACAAGCTGACATGTACACATCAACAAATTTGTATATAAGTATTTATAAGGCATAATGTATATATAAAAATCTTAATAACAAATTCAATAATTCGATAGATAAAATTGTAAAAACAAAATATAACAAAATAAAAGTCGTTTAGTCTTTCGTAAATCTGGGGCATCGTCGATATATCACTGAAAAAATCTATATGGCATATCACAATAATGATATATTATTTTACTTTATATGGCACTAGCCACAGCTAGTTTTTTTAAGTACAAACTTTCGAATCAAGGAACTAAAGATTATTAAAGTTAAAAAGTTATACTTATTTAATTATCAAAGGAAAGCACAAAACATTACTGTATCTATTTATAATGGAATGAAATTTACAATTATATTAAAAAAAGAAATCAGAGAAGAAACTTTCGTTGCCCACGCGAGCTGCTTATTGATGATTAGCCTAAAATATCTTTTCAGAGTATTAAAATTAAATTATGTGCAGTCAGTTGATAAACAAATATACAAATCATCCCTTTCCTGTTATTTCAGCTAATTATGTAGTAGAGTAAAAAATTACGCTAAATGACTAAACCGATTTTCACTAAAACAAAATGCATTTAAGTTTTTCCTTTCTACTAATTATTTATTGTAACGCATTGCCCTTTAATTTTTCTTGTTGTGAACACTTGAATATTTAGAATTTCTGTTGGCAACGCGCTTTCAAATTTAATAAAATCTGTTACTCAAAAGCTGCCGTTTAGTGAATTTCAAAAGACGAAATTTATAAGTACCTATCTACAAATAAATATGAGTTAGCTAACTACCAACTAATTCGATTTGTCTATATTTTTTTCGTAAATTTGATACTGGATCTTTAAAAAGAATAGGATCTAGTCTTAGATTAGACCTTAAAAGGGGCATGTAACCAAAAACAGCCGCAAAAGTATTTAAACACGTCTGTCTTTGTATAAAATGATCTGGATCATTCCACGGTGATCTGCTACCAGTCGAAGGTTGCTCTTTATATTGCTTTCTCTGCGTTACTTTTATAGGAGGTCTGCGGGTAACGTGACTGACTAAAAAATTCATCAAAATATCCTCACAATTTTGACTTTGCTCAACAGTCTTATGCAACAGCGGACTCAGCCACTCTGTGTACAAAACGTTGTAGTAACGATGGTAGAACGCAGCACTAGTTAATATTATCGAATATTCGTTAGTCCATTTAGACGTGTAGCCCCAAGACGCCTTGGCGTCGTCCCAAAAGTGAGATCTCGCCGGATAACCGACTATTCTGTCCGGAAACTCCAACCACACTTTATAAGCGAAATCAACTTCGTCCGTGGTAATCACAGTATCTTCGTCCAATGAAAACACTCCGGCGGTTTTTATTGACTGATGCGGGTAAAATCTTTGGGATATTGTAGGTTTCGACGGGTCATTAGAAGACTGAACGATTGTCAATTTTATATCAGGCGACAACAGGGGCCATCTACTCTTAACAGGTGGTCTTTTATCATTTGACCACACCACGACTATCTGAAACGAAAGATGGAACAGTGTCTCTAGAAACATCAACATTGTCTCATTTACCTGCTCAACGTATTTACTTCGACCTATATTAGATACAAGACGGTATAACGAAGACGATGGCACTAAGTTAGTTCCGAGTTGGCAGTAAATAACAGCAGTAAATTTTCCCAATCGGGGCGAAGGGCTAAAGGGAAAATCCACCGCTGAATCGGAAAATTGTGGAAGAGTTAAAAGAGCCCCTGGCCAATTATTCCAAACTACCCCGGACCTCTGTAACTGCATCGGTAATCTACCTTTTATTATCTGAAACAATTAAATGAGACACTTACTACCATTCCATTATTATTAACAATATCTGGACAATTGCTTTAAATTACCTCTAAAGTAGTAAAAACAATTTTTTCTATCGACGAAAAATAACGGTCCCATAAGCTTTGAGTTTGTTGTCGTAATTCTAAAATTTTTGTTGGTGGTATCGAACGAACCATATTAGGAACCTGGAAAAATAAATATAGGTACAAATTAATTATTATGCTACGTTGTCAGATAAAAAAAAGACGATAATATAAATATAATAGTTACTTGTAAGAGTAATCGCTCGTCTGCCCATAGTACTGCCTTATTCCAGTCTATAACTTCGGAAAAGGGTAGTTCCCAACCATTCGAAAGGAGAACTGGAATGCAACCCGCTTGCAGCGCTTCTAAAAAGCGATAGGAACCCAACCTACGACCCCTTGGTACAAGACAAAATGTCGAATTTTGAAGTAGTACTTCGTAATCGTACCTTGAACATAAAACGAATATTTTAAAAGCATATCGAAAACGTATTTGATTAGATTTAAATTTAAATTTCTAGGATAACTGCTCATATCTAAAATTAATTTTAACAAATTCCGGAATTATGGTTTAATTGCATATGAAATTTGTATTTTACTACTGCCAAGCAGTTAATTTAAGCTAGAATTTAATAACTTAATCAATTGAAATGCCTATTTCAGTTTATAAAATTTTTACGGCAAATACATATTGAAAAATTGTATGTGTAAAAACATAAAAAACAACACAAAAGTTGATAAGATGCCATATAACATGTACCTATGTAAAAAATGGTAAATAAACATATTAGATAAAATTACCGCGATCAAATTTCTCACGTTTTCTCGCTTTCAAGGATTTCAAAGTAAAAGATATTTGAATTGGCTTGCTCATGTTCATTCTATTAAAACTGCAAAAAGGTAAATAAACAAAATTGTTCGTCAACACGTTTCAAAAAGCCTTGACAAAATTTTTATGGACATATATATACATTCTACTTATATTTTCCTATTTAATTTGAACTGTAACCTCGTCAAAAATGAAAAAAAAAAAAACACATTACACAAAATAATTAATGTGAAACAGGAAAATTTAGTAATTTACTTATTATACGATTAGATGACAAATAGATCTTAATAATTACTGCTTACGTTAGAAGGACAAACTAAACTCGTTATCTTCTTTTAACTAAAAACTAAAGTCAATTTGCTATTTAAATAGCATGCATACTATGCTGATTTTAATGCAAATATCATTATTTTTTTTATCTTACAGTAGTTACCTTATTTACATCGGTAAATAAATATTAACAGTTTTTAATAGCTTTTAAACACCAGTAGCAAAATTAACAATCGGGTAACGTTAAGGTGGGCTGTTATCGTAATAAATAAATATTTAACGAATTATTTATTAAGTCAAGTAAGAATCTTCTAAAGGCCAAAACTATGTCCCAACTAACGAAGTGAAATACATCATTTGCTTATTATTAAGAAATTTCTGTATATCGCAATATCATTAAATAATATTAACATATTCAATAATTAAAAACGCCACATTGTATCGTCGCTACAGCGATAACGACCTAGCAGAATAAGTGTTAACATTTAAATAATAAAATTATCAGTTATTATTTACAATTATCTGCTAATGTAATTAATAAAACCGTGTATCAGCACACTTTATAAAGACAAACCTCTTTAATTGCATAAAATTTTACATAAATATCGATCACTTTAATAAAACCAGACAATTAAATAGAAGTGTTTTTAGTTTAGTTTTGTTAAAATAAAAAATTGCAATGACATTTTGTAACTTTTATTTTTTAGAATTTGCTGGCTGGTTTTTATTGAGATCTTCTTTCTCCTTTCCGCTTGATAACGGTAGAAGTCTATAAATTTTAATTTACCAAAACATTTGTAAAAGTTATAGCAATCATTTTAATTTACTACCATATCAATTAAGCTTTAGTGCTTGTGTCAAAATTAATTTTACTTAAAATTTGGTGACATCATATATGCCTTGTTGAACGGAAATTGGCAGATGGTGTAAATTATCTAAAATGGCAACATAATTGTCAAATAAGTGCATGATGCATTGGTACTTCTTCTAGCTACCCGTGTGTTAACTTTTTATAAACATATCTAAATCTACAGAGGTATTATGCATTTACCATGACGCCACTTGACTGCTTATCTTAGAAGTTTATTGCACTATAAACTCGCATAATTTTTCTTTTAAAGTGACATATAAATTAATAACATTTAAATATAAAATTATTAGTATCACGAAGAAGATTGTTTAAATTTAAATATATATCCTATATCAAATACAAGTATCTATACGACTTGTTTTTGCGGTTTCTATAATGTAATGCGTCCTTCCGAATTTTGTAACATTTTCTCCGAAATAATGTTTATATCACTGCGGTTAGCCTCGTATCATTTGAAAAACATCCTGATGTTTATTAACCAAAACCATAATCTGTACATTTTTGCAAAAATATTTTTTTTTTAAACTTCAGATTTACGTAAATTTCTGAGGAAACTGAAAATTCTTGCCAGTATTTTTTCAACAGAATTATTAATTATTTTTACCTTAGCAGTCATAAAACACTTTTTTTACATTTCATGCACAGCAAAATACTCATTTACGAAACCGCACTGCAGAAGTTAAAATATAATAAATAGTAAACGTGAGTGCCTCTTTTAATTTCTTTAAAACTTCTTGAAAGAAAGTTGTTTCTGTCGGTGCATGTGGGTAGAAATCTATTACGAATGAAGTGGGTTGAGAATATATTAAAGGTACTTCTATTCGTCCAGTTTTTCAACCAAGGAGTGCATGTAGACTTATTAGACCTTTTATAGAAAACGAAGAAGTTCGGAAACAAAAACAAAATCACTCCCATTCGATTTTTTAATGTTTTTTTTAAATATTATTTAAACAAGAAAAGGAAAACTAAAAATATCACTTCAGAAAATAATTAGTTATCTACGTAAAATAACTTTCGCAGTCTCAGCAAATGTTTAATTGGTGACGTCTAAGCAAAAATCTATTCGTAAATGTAATTTTATTAATCGACCCAGTCAAGAACTAAACGGCAGATTAATAAAAACATTAGTTATTGATAACCTATTTTTCAATTTAATGCAGTTCTCCTTGAACCGTAATTTATCTGAATTAAAGCTGAATTAACAAATTGAAAATTATTTTACACAACATACAGGGCAAAGCTTCAAAAGTAATATGTAGGTACCTGCACTTTGCGTATGTATTATTATTAAAAAGAAACGAAAGTCCTCAAAGAAGAACCCAGCTTTTAAAACAAACATCAATTATGCTTAATGACTATTTGTTCAATGGAAATGTGAAAGAGAGAGTTACATGTATTTTATGCTAACGCAATAGTTGTTTTAGCAAACACGTTGATGGCCCATTTTAACCTTGACACCTAGACATCTTACGTATTTTTTAAAAAAAAAGTACAGTAAGGTACAGTTAAACATCATACGATATTTATGCTGATGAATACAAATTTTTTAAAAAATTCAATTTGAAATATTGACAATTTTACAGGACATGTAGATAATACTTTCAGCAATTAAAAAACACAACACATATTCATTAGTTATTTGCTCTTTAGCGACACTTTAAAACTAGCGAAATTTAATGACCAAGTCTAATACACGGTAAAAGCTTGAAAACAAGCAATTAAAAAAAACATACTTAGGTATAAGACTTAACATGTTCACGCACACATGCAATTAAACTAGTGTTGCCCAAATTCAGTCTTGGTCTTGCAGTCTTGGTCTTGTTCTTGCGTTTTTGCAAGACCAAGACCAAGAACAAGACCGCGTATTTTTAGCAAGACCAAAACCAAGACTGACCGTGCAAGACTTGAGCAAGAACAAGACATAGCCTGCAAGACTCTTGCGTCTTGCAGCTAGGACTTAGCGCTATTTCACTGAGTAGTTAGGTGTAACAGTTCGGTGTATAGGTAGGTACGCTTAGGAATTCTATGAGACGCAAAAAACTGTATCAAAGAATATGAAAAACTGGACCTATGCGCATTACGACTAAAACCATAAACATAGCGAATAAAAAAATTATTAAAATCAAACTGAGTGCATGCATAGTTATGTTTTAACCATCGGCACTTTGATAATGCGGCATCAAAGGTTTTGTACTTACTTCTCAAAGAAATTTGCCGCTTTTCGGAAGTACATGGTTATGATACACGCGCCGGCGGCTTCTTTTGAAATCTAAAACAATCGTTGCCGCCACGCCGAAATCATAACATTTGACACTATTTGATTGCCGCCATAGGGTGTAGGTATACTCATGCAAAATAATTTCGAATTTTTTTACACGCTTTATATTATTGTTTGATTTGCGGCGGCATCCTTATCATAGAGCCGGCACGTGGCGAGGCGGCGCGGTAGAAAGCAAGGATCATAAATGTTTATTAAGAAACAGTTACTTCCATGGAAAACGACATATAGGTCAGTTGATTTTTCGAATTTCTTATCAAATCTTCAGTTATTTATTAATCTGCTTGATCTTTACTATGGCTATATTCATTCAAGCTCACAATGTTCCAATTCTAATACGTTTTTCTAGGATTTAAAGTAAACTTTAATAAATAGTAATAGACTAATAGGTAATTGCAAGACTTGCAAGACTCTTGCTGCAAGACCAAGACCAAGACCAAGACTGGGAGCGCAAGACCAAGACCAAGACCAAGACCAGGTGTATTGGCGCAAGACCAAGACCAAGACTGGCTAAGTCTCGTCTTGTTCTTGCGTTTGGGCAACACTAAATTAAACAAACAAAACCTGCTTTTTGTAATCACCACAGAAATAACGTAAGTTGTAAAAAAAAAAGTTATTTCGAAGTTCTTTTGCATTAATTTGAAAAATTATATGGCTATAAAGCTAACATATGCATTTTACGTAATGATATTTGCAAATACAACCTTTAAATAATCGTATCTCGCGTAACTAAAAGGATTTGCAGCAATAAAAATGTTAATGCTAATTTTAAATATGTAATTTTTTGGAAAACGCCCTAACAAAATGTTAAGCAAGTGATAAATTTAAAAGTTGCTAATTATTCTTTTAACCACTTCATTATTTTCCGTTATTATTTTAAATAAGTTGGCGGTATGTACATTTGAATCGCCTATTTATTCTTATTTATAATTAATGTTGGAAAATATTTATAAATCAGCCTTTTTTTCTCTCCCAACATACATTAAAGCACTTCAAATTCGTGATGATGTACCCACATTGAAATGTAATATTTAATCGTAAGTAAGATAAGTTCGTCAATGATAATGTTAATTTACAATATACTCACCTAGACATGGAGAAACTCCTACTTTAGTACTTTTAAAGTGTCAAATTTCATTTAAAAAAGGAAAAATGAATAAGTATTATAGATATTTGTTCTTCCATATTTTACAAATACTTTAAACTGATTTTATATATCATATTATTTCAACGCCTACAGGAATATATATGTCTGTGTCTGTTATAACTAAAAAAAGGTATTAATTTACATCCTTCCGTAATTTGATATTGCAGTGACTTATCGGTAAGGGCAGTAAAAAGGCGGTGTGTATGTCAGTATGAACTAATTACAAATTTACGTATAGATAGATGCACGAATACATATGAAAAAAAAGTGAATTAGTAGAACATTGAGCTGCTGAAGCAATAAAAGCTCTTGTCAATTTACAAATTTTATAAAACGCTTTAATTAGACAATGGTCTGATAAAATTGAATTTGAACATCTAGATGAGAATGCTACAAATTAAATTATCCGGAGTCGCCCTGAGTATAATTTAACCGTTTCCCAATAAAAGTAATAATAGCCTGACGTAGTTCTGATATTGTTACAAAATTGAATACTGACGTTCCTACATCCTGTTAGTAAAGCTCACATACAAATATGTATGTATATTATGTATCCTGGCTTTGCAAAAGCTTGTTTGTACATGCTGCAATTACTATGAACTTACCGCAAACCCGCCTAGAAAAATAAACAACTTTTCACATCTTCGCACACACACACACATGATCAATTATCATTTTGGATTAAAATAAGACTAAAATTCAAGTACAAATCAAAAAGGGGCTAATAATGACATAAAAAATTATTAACAGGACTAACTTTACCACCATAAATTGATTATTGTAGACACGTGTTTCGCCCACGTATTAAATTAACATATTAAATTTCGCGAGACTCGTTTTGATAATAAATGTTGATAATAATTATGAAGTGGGCGAAACACATGTCCGCAATAATCAATTTTTAGGGGTAATTTTGGTCTCTATTTAGTTTAATTAGGACTAAATCTAGCAATTAAATAGATGAACAATTTTTTATGTGTTCCTTTACAGAATCCAACACATTTCAATTACAATATTATTTACACACTAACAGTATCAGCTTAGGTGAACCTGAATGGATTATTTAATGTACTCTTTTCATAATCTTCCCTGAAGAAACTTTTTTAACGAAACGTCGCTGTTGGATTATGTAAAGCAATAAATAAAAAAAATTTCACCCTTTGATTTACTAGATTTAGTCCTGTTAATTTATAGTAGAGGAAGTAGTACAAAGTTGAAAAAAACAATATTTGTTAAAATATTTCCAATTTACCCTGTATATTATACACTAAAGACGAATTGAGAACCGACATATTCTATTACATGCAACCATAAAAAAGCAACATCTTTTTATATAAACAATAAAGTTATAGCTATAATAAACGTAATTTAAATCTTCTGAGGGGTGCTACGCTTTGTTCAAAAGTTTTCAGTTAGTTTAGGACAGTTTTCAAACTATGGTTTTTGCTTGTCGACAAAGAAATATGTAATTTCTACGTTCGGTGATAATTTGCCTTACCTGTATACATCTTGAACGACTTATTTTTATAGTTAAATTAAATAAAAATTATCGATCACATTTTTAAATCGCTCTGTATAAATGCATCCAATTTCATGTAGATTGCAATCCACAAATTACTTATTTTAAATATTGCAATGAATATTTTGTANAATTTTCCAGGCATTCAACATCTTCACATTTTGTGTATACCTGTATGTGAAATAACTTACGATAACCAGCTTAACCTGTCGAATATTGCCGAAGGAGACCTTTAAATTTATGTAACACTTGATGGTAAAAATTATTATCATTTTATTGCACTTATACATATATTTAGGATTAGCAAATTTAACATACTTAAAAAATAATTAACTATATAATATAAATGGAATACTACCTACACATATTCCCACTTTTTATGTAATTTAATTATTTTTTAACTTACCTATCATATTCCTTGTTATCAAAATCGCATCTTTCATCTTTCATTTCTTTCCAGTTTTTACCATGTCTGCAGGTTGTGACCATAACTATATCATGCTCGTTATGTAAATGAAACAGTGCATTTCTTGTTTCAGATCCAATACCATGGACATACCTTTTTCCCTTGAAAGCCAATAAATACTTTTTATTCAGGGGAAAATTGTTACTAACTACAGACCCTGATTCACCACCTTTCTCTGGGTGCTTCTTATGAAATAATGGTAAGCTAATATCAAAATTTGGTCTAATATTTGTCGAGGACATGCTAGCTTTAGCTAATATAGCCATCCCAGGGTCAAATTCAAGCCTATTCTCTGCATAATCTGGCCATGTCCCAGAGTATAAATTAAATATTAGATGGTTAATACCTTTGTTCCAATATGGCAATTTTTGGATACGTAACTGAAGATTTCTTACATAATCTGTACTTAAACGATCTCTATCTAATGTATCTAAACTTAAGACCAGTAAACAGGCTTGTGTAGGATCATTCGTGTAATACCTTGACTCCTCCAATACACTAAGCAATTTTTGATAGGATTCACCAGGCACCACATTTTCATCTGGAGGGTACACATATACTTTAAAAGCCTTGCATCTTGTAAAGTCAAAACAGGTCTCCATTCGGCATAAATGTGTATTTTCGCTTATGGATTTTTCTTTATGTTTGCTAACACTTCCTGTCCTCATTGAATGAAAGTCTAAGTAGCTAGGTAAACTATCTATTTCAGAATTTTTATCTTTACTTTTCAAACGAAAACCACCAAAATAACAGTAAGCTAAAAATGCACAAGACACAAACACCAACAAATAGCGCTTCTTTGCCTGCATTATTCTATGTTACATTTGTATTTAACTAGTGTAACAAAAAAATGGGTAGTTCTTGAAACTAGGTACCTCACTGATGTTGGAGGGCAAAACACAAGTAAGCGTTCTTCCTCCAACAGTATTACAGTTTTTAATCATTATTTTGTAAAACATCACTTTTAACACTACCTTATTTCTGATTTGAAAACAAAAAAAGAATACAAACATCGATCATTGCAAAAATTTGTTTTCACATCCATTGCCGAAAGAATCACATTACTTTTGAATTTTTATTCAGAATTAAGCATCAAATATCCAAACATAATGTAATACACTTGCACTTCGCAAACTTCTGCAAACGACTGCGTGATGATACTGTCACAACGTCCTAACCTTAAATACAAACGTAAGCCTAACCAGAGACTAACTTTAAAGAAACAAGCTGACATTTCAATACGATCTGAAGGTGTATACCCATGAAGTTGCAGCATTTACTTTCTTTCTAAATACAGTATGTCTTACACGAAATGTGTGAATTTTTAACCCAACAAGCATGTTTAATTAATATTATATATATAAGAAATTATGAGTGCTGTCAGCATAGGGCAAAGTAAATGAAAGTTAGTAACAGCAATTTCTTATGCTGAAGTGTAGAATGTGTTGCATACCTATTTACATACAATTCCATTAAATTTTAATCATTGATTACTATACATCTATTAAAAAACCATAATGGCCGACATCAGTAACAATGCGACAACAATTGAAAAAGAATGATGGCCGACAATTTCAACAATTACAAAAGAATGATGGCCGACAACTGCAACAATTACAAAAGAATGATGGCCGACAACTGCAACAATTANCCTATGTAATACTCAAATAACCCTAAGCTAAAAATATATTGTAATTTATTTTATTTTTATTTCAGCATTTCTCTTTATTATTCTGTTGAATACAACTACACACATTTAACGGAGCTAAAAAAAACAGGAAATCAATGTTATACCTAGGAATCCTTTGAACTTCTTAAAACACGTAAAGTATTTTTTTTCCTTTCCTCATTCTCTAACTATGACAAAGAAAAGCAAATCAATGAAAAATCAAAAACTAAGCTTTATTGATTAATGTTACAATTGCAGGTTAACCGAATCGAATTGTGAATAACCTTTTGCTCGATTTACAACACATCAATTGTTGGTAATAATTAATATAAAGATTATCATAAAGAGTAGGATCGTGACCTTTAATACATTAAACGAGTTATATTGGTGTTTCGGTAACAAATAAATGAGACTTCTCTTCGAAACGACTCTTTCTGGTTCTTTTCTAAGGTACCTAACTGTACATACAAAACGTAATTTTAAAAATATATTAGAGGAGGCATAGAAAAAAATTGAATTTATTTTCAATAATTATTGTGTTAGTAGCAGCTTTTAATTTCGTTTGTTCTGTTAATTTTCCAGGCATTCAACATCTTCACATTTTGTGTATACCTGTATGTGAAATAACTTACGATAACCAGCTTAACCTGTCGAATATTGCCGAAGGAGACATTTAAATTATTGCTTTTGATGAATATTGTATTGGTGGAATTATGCTAACGTCATTGAAGCAAGTCGGCTGAAATATTTGGATGTACATATTTTAAAAAGTTCTCTTCTGTGCATTAGTGCTGACCTTTTCCTGGAGATTTAATTTACAATGACTGAGGTATGTAGTTTAACCTAACTTTTTGTACATATAATTATTTTAGTTATTGCAGTTAAACGTTGTTTTGGCAAAATCAAAACGTAAATTATGTACTATTAAAGTTTCCCAGCAATCAACCATAGCAGATATAAAAAAGGAAATTGCAAAGCAACGTCCAGCCTTGTACATTGACCGTCAATCAATTAGAATACAAGACCCTGGAAAGAATCAGCCAGACAAGGCAACAGTACATGAATTAAGTTTAAAAAATGGATCTGAAATTTACCTTAAAGATTTGGGTCCACAAATTTCATGGAAACTCGTATTTATTCTCGAATACTTAGGTCCATTGGTAGTTTACTTTATAATAGCACAACGTCCATGGCTTGTTTATGGAAATACATATAAAACCATTAATGACTACTCATTTGTTTACCAGTAAGTTATGAAGTAAATCTTTTAAAATGCTGTATCATTTTGTCTTTTAGTGTTGCTCTTCTGTGTTGGTCACTCCATTATTTAAAAAGGTTATTAGAAACATTATTTGTTCATCGCTTTTCTCATAGTACTATGCCACTTTTTAATTTATTTAAAAATTGTGGGTACTACTGGGGTTTTGCAGCATATGTGGCTTACTATGTAAATCACCCTTTGTATACATCTCCTAATATGTTACTATTTATATTTGGACTGGCACTATTTACAGTAAGTTTTAATATTTGCACTTAACAATTCTGTTATTAAAATAAAATGCATCTTTCTTATTTATAGATTTGTGAAATTGGTAACTTGAGTATTCACTTACTTCTTCGTGATCTGAGACCACCAGGAACAAAGGAGAAGAAAATACCAAAACCAAACAAAAATCCACTGACCAAACTGTTTAATTTTGTATCATGCCCTAACTATACATATGAATTTGGTGCCTGGTTAGGTTTTAGCTTAATGACTTCTTGTTTGCCAGGTGATTATGTCTAATCTCTCATTTAGTTAAGGTATTATTTTTTCATGTTATTAAAAAGTAAGCACCATAGCTTACTAATAGATTTTTGTATACTTAAGTTTTCTGTATTTATCAGTGGTATGTTTCACCTATCTGCCAAAAATTATTGTAAACTACACTATTTGACCTTATAATATTTAAATTCTTGTTAAGGGGTAACTGAAGTATTATGTAAGCACACTAGGCAAATTAAAAATTCATATTTTTCTAATGTTTATAATAACACGTATATATAAGAATACTTCATTAAAGACAGTCATTAGAATGAAATCAAAATATCCTTTAGATTGTTATACGTTTCTGCAAATAATATAAAAATAAATACGGTAAATAAGAGTATGAAAGTATGCCCCTTAACAGTGAATTTGATAGCTTCCAGAAGTTTTTTTGTAATTAATTTATTTTTCAATGTAACTGATAACATTTAAGATCACTCCAATAGTATAATTATTTTGGTGGCAAACTTGCTTATTTTGTAATTTCCCATTATTATATTAAAGTGATCCTAAATGTTATCAATTGTTAGTATAGGGAAAAACAAAAGCAACAGGTTTTTTTTTGAGAACTTATTGCTCACTTTTATGAGGGCAATTTTCAAACTAGTTCTTCAATGATAATGATACAAAAAGAATATGAAAATGGGTACTTTTTTGGCCCCATTAACTAATGTTTTAGCTTCATATTTTAAGATCCTAAAATTTCAACTACTACGCTAAGAGAGTTTGTTTTCCATTCAGTTAACATAGAAAAACCGTTTCCAGTGAAACCTTAAGAGCTTATAAAATTTTAGAATTCTCATTGCCGCATTTTGTAGAGAATTAAATTTCGTGCATTGATTGATTTAGTACTTTAAATGATAGTTTCGTTTAAACATTATCATAAAAATTGCACTTTGTTCAATTAATTTTTAGTAAAGTTATATCTGTTTAAAAGCATACAATTACTTTTATAAAATAATTTTTGTATCAGAACAATGAGGAAAAATGACCCATTTTTTGTAGCTTGGTAGGTAAAAAGAAATTTTAGCCTAGAACGTAAATAACTTACAGCTGCTTTATTTTTTCTATGTTTAGCATTATGGATATCTTCCTGGGTAAAAACCCATTTATTTTAAGTATCTAGGAGTGGAGTTCTTATTTTCACTTTTTGAAAGTAGTACTGATTTAATCAATTAAGTATGAAAAATATATTTTGTACGAAATTTAATCCTCTACTAAATACTGCCATAGTTCTTTTGCTTTACAAGCTATTCAACTTGTCAATACAGTCATGTAAACGTCATTTTTTCCATGTAAATTGAGTTAAAAGCAAACTCTATTTGTGTCATCCACAGGTTTGACAATTTCCTTATTTTGCTTTGGGAGAGGAACGTAAAACAAAAAGTATGCCTATGTAATACTCAAATAACCCTAAGCTAAAAATATATTGTAATTTATTTTATTTTTATTTCAGCATTTCTCTTTACACTGGCGGGAATGTATCAAATGACTGTGTGGGCTCTAGGAAAACACAAGGCTTACAAGAAGGACTTTCCCAGATATCCCAAGGAAAGGAAAGCTATATTACCCTTCGTTATATAATTAATATATTTTTAAGTAGTTTTTCTACTAAATGCTAAATTTAATATAATACTGAAATGGTTTGTTGTTAATTTTTAATAGAAAAACTAAAACTATTTTAGTATTGTGTTAAATACAGTATTTATTGCAAAACCCCATGATTAATAAGTAAACCTCGGTGGTGGAAGGAAGTCATGTTTTTTAAAATAGTTATTGTTCACTGCTAATGTGCCATTATTACTGTAATTTATAAACCAGTCTGGTTAAATTATTATTTATAATTGCTGGACATTTAATTTTAATTCCTATTCATTGGCCAGTTTTATTAATTTGTTGTTCTTATTATTGCATTTAGTTATAGACTGATGTTATTTGATACTTGCCATTCCACTTCCAAGATTAGGAAAGTACTTAAATTAGACTATTTTGTGACTACTTCTAGGGATCTCAGGGTTTTGGAATAAAAAAACGACAAAAAATGTTAGGTACTTGTTATTTATAGTCTTTATTCATAATTGTATGTGGTTTTGTATTACTTGTGTTTGAAAGGTTACAATAAAAGTTCTCATAAAATTTACTATTGTATTTTTTTTTAATACCTCATTACATATAAACGTATTAGAAGAGAAAAACAACTTAATATAGAAAAAAAAATTAATAATAATCAAATGGAATCTTGTAATTTCTTGATAACCATGCTAAAATGAAGTAAAATGTTCCGTGGCATCCACCATCCACCCCGACCCACCGACCCTATATACCTAGCTTCTACTCCGTAAGATTGAGAATTCAAATAGTATGCAAGAACCAAAATGAGACATCTATGAGACACTTATCGAAGCTTCATTCTGAAATCTTCTAACGTTACAGTTTCCTGTAAATCAATAGATTTTCAAAACTATAAATTTAACGCTTTGCTTACAGATGGCGCAATAGACTACTATTTATTAAAAATTCAATGCTAAATCTACAATTAATTATGTAAATAAGTTAAATTTTTTATTTATTCTTATGTACATATACGTTACATTAAAACTGGGTATTCCAAATATCAAATACATGCTGAAATACTATCGGAAGCGATTCGGAGTGAAAGAAATTTTCCAATCAGATACGCACCCCGGTACGCAAAGAAATTGAAGAAGTTAAGCTCTCGAGGAGGGAAAAATTCGATGGCTATAATTCCATGATCATACGTCCTACAGATTCCACACCTGCTTCGTTTTAACCCCAAATGGTTAGGCTAATTAATTATGGGAAACGATTTTGTAATCTGAAAATTCAATTACTAAGTTGTTACTTATCTAGTGGTCTTATTTACTCTTACCTTCTTTTGTATACGTATGTGTGCATTCTGGAGTGTCTTAAAACGTCTTGGGGTTAATGAGACTTCAACATATTTTTGACCCTTTAACAAAAACATGAAATCAATAAAAAAATAACGCTCTAGTTGAACAGACTTATCGCCATTAATTAAAACTAATTTTTAATTATTGATAGGTAATTGTCAAAGATATAAATCAAAATTTAAAAGCAAAAATGTTTTTGCAGCAATGAAAAAAGTTACTAATGTATGCTTTTATCAAAAATTTCCTTATAACTCAAAAGTATGGACAACTGTTACATCAATCGACGCTGAATTCAATTCTACTCATTAATAAAATAATATACGGAGTGCTCCATTTGAAAAAACAGCTTTTGTGTATTAGAAGTTTAATACATTGAACTATTAAAATATTTCGAAAATTACTAATTTTTTGGATAGAGTTGTATTGTCAACGTCTATATAAAAAGATTCGTTGAATCAATAAATGCCATAAAAACAATACCGTTCAAAATAACAAAGTTAGCGTAAACTTCCGGTACAACCGGAAGTGCTCGATCACTGCAAGTATTTTAATTAAAAAGAGAATTATTCTTTTAAATTATTTGCCACATTTTCAAAACCCTACCAATATTATAAATTAAAAAAAAAATTAATGAGCGAGTCTTGTGAAAAACTTATTTTAAAAAGGAAAAAAAAAATACTACCTTATTACGAACATACCAACATACTGGAATACAAATGTAAGACTATTTAATTATCCATAAATAACTTACCGATATAATGTGATGCTTTTCAGCAGAATTTGAGGAGATGCGGTTAGTAAGAGCAATGTTTCTGGAAAACTTGAAGAAATATCATAATTCGTGCTTTAACCAAGTTTTCATTTGACATTTTACACAATGATCTGAAAAAAATTTATGACTCAATTTATTTTCCCGAAACTAAAATTCACCTACTACTTACCCCAATTTTCAGTTGTTTACGTACAATTTCAACTGCTCCGTTTTTAAGTTTGGATGCAAAACCCTAAAAATAAAACAGAAAACAAAAACGTAAATATGAAAACTAAAAAATTGATTTCCGATAAAATATAAACAAGCCAAAATCTACTGTATAAAAAAGTATTATTTTTTAGATATAAATGCGCCTGAAAACTTTTTTATTTTTTAATGAAAGTAAACAGTTTGTAATTGTTTACATACTTTAGTATTTTCTTGAAATTTTACAATATTGTACAAGGTACTGAACAGAAATATATGTATGTGTATGTGAACCCAAAAATTCTTATTTTTGGTCAGTTTTTCGAAACTGGAAAACTGCGAAAGAATTATTTCACTATGTCCAATATATAAAAATATATTCTTTTAGCGATTAATTAATAAAATAGAACAAGAAACGCTGTCAGGAGTAAATACAAAAGTTTAGCTAATCTGAATCGCAAAAAGCGTCCGTTGCAGATGAAAACGACTACGGCTGCATTTGTGGATGTATATATTTCTTAGATACCGCCTCATAGCCTGTTATTAAACGAAATGGTCTCGTGCGTTCAGATAAAAAGGACCGAGTTCATTTATAATCTCTTTGACCTTTTAGCAACGGGCATCACCTCTTGCTAGCTTACACTGCAGAATAATATGAGCTTGTTGTTGTTTAAATGCTGTTCCTTTTGTCCATGTAGGGTAGGGTACAAACGAAATTTATGTACGTACATATATTTTTTTCAATTTACGGATTAGACTGTGCATAATATGAAATTGTTAAATTTCCTTTTAAGTGCATAAATGAAATTATAAGAAATTTTTGAAGTACGCTTTGAACAATTGACTTGTAGATACAACTGCATAAGTTGAATTCACACAAAGAAATTGTTGCGGAGAAACAATATTATAGGCGAACTTCATTCTTGATCTCAAGCCCCGAGGGCCTTGTAATAAAGCGTCTGAAAAGAGCCGGCGTCAAATAAAATGTCTTTTAAAAAGAACGTTAACTTGTTGCTTTTTAAATGGCTTTATGCTCAAGTGAAAATCGTGCTTGGTCAGCTTATTGTGTTGATACTTTACACACCCATTTATTCAGCAGAAACCTTGCGATTTGTACGTCAGCTAAAAGCTCAAAACATAGGGATTCAACCGTCGCTGTACATATTAAAAGTTAATGACACTTCGGTTAGTTATACATTTTTTAATGGCAAGGTGAAATAACTCTGCATTGCTTTTGCGTTACCACCTAACTCATTATTAATCCAATTCCTCAAGTTCAGAGTTCAAGACCGAATTCCTTAGAAATATCAACTTTCTGATGTAGGTACTAATTCCTCATTCATATACCAAACCGTAAGCGAAAGATAAATTAATTACATACGCAAAATATCACACAACAAAATTAAATCATCATGATCTAAAACTGTTGTATTTCTTTTTAATAAAGATTCTGGGATGTTTAAAAGACTTAGTACTTCACGAACTTGTTCTTGTCTTGATTTTTCGCATTGCTGATTTGTTCTTGATGCAGGAACAAGACAATAAACAACACAAAACAAGAATTCCTCTTGGGCAGAGCAAGAGTTCTTGTCAAAAAAATTAGTAAGAAGCAAGAATTATTCAAAGTAAAAGACGAAAGCAAGTAAATTTTGACCTAGATCATCAACTGTAAATGTAAATAATTTTAAAAAATACAAAATTATATCTGATGTTTAATAGGAACTAAAATGCATAACGTGCTAGATACATGCATGATATTTAGAATCTTTTTCTAACTTCTACGAATTTAGACAAGTCAGACTTGGGAACTCCCCAAGCTAGCAAGAACAAGAAATAGCAAAACTCCTTCTAGTAAAACAAGAATGAAGACAGCAAGAAATCAGAAAAGAAATTAAGTTAACAGACATAGATACTCAATAAAACTGTAAATTAGTTCATTATGGAAAGATTCAGGAGTCTTCGGATTTTCTTAATTGGTGAATTTTTTGACGTTGAAGGTATACACTATAGTGAGTTGTAATAAGTGATATGAGGAAGACCCTGTATGGTAAAGGAACTTCCTGTTTTTATTCCAGGTAAGTTCTGAAGAGAAATCAGTGTGCAAGAAAAGTGCGCACGTACGAAGTTTGAAAGAATGGCGAACAGAGTGGTGAGTAGAATGTATAGTGGTAAATTTAACTGAACCTGCAACTTGGAACTTTGCTTTGCCTTCTCTACCAATACTATCAACAATGCTAGATAATGAAGGAAGCAGAAGCAACAGCAGCAGCAGAAGTAGAAGAAACGCGTGGTAGTAGTAGGTGTAGTATTAGGTATTGGCGACAGACTCTGTATGTGTGCTTGTAGCAGTAGTAGTTCTGCCGACAACGGTAGCAAAGCGGGGTGCGCGGAACTGAGGGTGCAGTGTAGAGAGACTAAAGGAGACGACGGAGACCAAACGTCAGTCTCCCTCTTCATTCGGTTGAATCCAGAGACGTGGTTTCGTTTCAAGCCACGTGCGGGAAACTACCCTTCGAACTCGTGGTAATGACTTAAGCTCAAAAGAAATTTTTGTCAACGTTTGGAAACAAGTTCTCCGAGAACATCAACCAACCAATCAACTTACATGGATTTTATTATTCTCAAGGTAGGGCCATTTGTACCATTTCCTTTTTTTCCACTTGGTTCAATTAATACTTAGCCGCGCAAAGTTAGTTAAAGTTTAAAATTTCATCGAAACGTCTAATAACTTTTCGTATCTCATAATTATTAGCACATAGCACCAAGCAATTATCGAGTTTTTAAGACGCAAGAAAGTTACCCTCTTGTTATTTCAACTTCATTCTCTCTTATTTTGCTTGCTAAATGGGTATCGTAACCAGACCGCGTAAAAACAGTTCAAGTAATTAAGTCAACAATGCGTGAACCTGACTATTTCTCGACTTAATTACTAAATTCAATGAAAAACTACCCTTGAATGAAAAGCTAACGTTTTTCTACTGAGTTTTCCCAAGTTTTTCATTATGTCGACGAACATATGCTTGTGAAATTGAGGTAATAACATTATTAAAGTTTTGATTAAACAATTAAATAAGAACATCCCTATAGTTATATAAATA